CAATATCCACTAGTTTCTGCAACTATCCATTAGCCCCGTCACATGGCAGCCTACCCCACTTGCCCCCTGTGACTCACATGTCACGCTACTAGGCCCTGGTCCTGTAAACATGACGTCACGTTACCGTAGCCGTAACACTAGGTCCTCCTCCAAAAGGCCTAGTTGTCATACTGACATTCGTTGCACTCAGTTTGCTATCAAACTCAAGAGCAAACTTAGAAATCTCCTCCTCAAACCTACAAGTCACCATACATATCTTGGCTTATCACACCAACAACAGAAGCAATACTACTCAACGATTGCTGCAAACTCTTCTACTACATCTGTTTATGCTACATACATCACGGCATATCATTTGAACACTCATTGAACAAGTTATTAAGAAAATCTCCTCCTTAAGGGGGTGGGCCAATACTACCACATGGCATATATCTACCAACTAGAGGCCTAGGAACATGAACGATAGCTCTAGAAGCTTCTACAACCCTCTATGATTCATTACACGTCATCGCTCCTTAGTTACCCACAAGATTGGTTAAGTTATGACATAATTTATCTATAGGTACTCTGACCTTGGACCTCCTTTTCACTTCCTATAGGCTAGGAACCCAAGAGATGGTTCTATGGGATTCTCTTACGTTCACTACATGATTAGCAAGCTAGTTGTGGGTCGCACTTGATTTCTAATACATTTACCAAGCCTGGTTAGTCATGGAAAGTCATGGAAAATGAGAGAACTACACTCCTTTGGCATAAATAGGATTGCCCTTTCCTTAAGAAAGGGCAAGCAGGCAATACAGTAAATCGACTAGCACATACTTCTACGTCTTTTCCAAGCTTCCAAGCATTGATCTTGTTATTCTCTGTTTTTGAAAAGTCAGTGAGGTGCTAACCTCTGACTTACCCCTGAGTTCTCAGACTCAACATTTGTTGCAACTTGTCTAAACCACTTCACCACATCATACACCTGATTGCTGCGTTGTGGAATAGTCTAAGCTACAACCCTTTGGCTCTGTTTCCTAAGACAGTGTGTTGTCTTAGTAAATTCATCCCTTCCTTGGGTGGCTAGATTCTCATATCTGGTGCACCCACCATTACACTAGTCCCTTAGGTCTTGCTGATTAAGGAATCGCTTACTTAAGTAGGGTGATGGCCACTTAATTGCCGAGCAGGTTGCGCTGCTTACCATGTCTTCTAGTAGACACATAAAAATCAAGGAACGTCATCTTCTTGCAGACCGTATTGAAAAGAACGGCAACCTAATGTCGCCATGTTTCAGCTGTCTTCACAACAATCGATTCTGTATCGTTGTTGCTGGTAGTCATCGTTGTAGTGAATGTACTCGTCGCAATTCTAAATGCAACGCTTGTGCCCCTTCTCCAACTGATTGGGAGAAACTTCGAAAAGAAGAAGAGCGTCTTGAGGTAGAAGAGGAAGTGGCGGCATCTCAGGAGCGAGAACTATCCAGATTACCCATGAGGCACGATGCCACTATATAAGTAGATAGTATTTCCTTAGATAGGAGCTTCGTGCTCAACTCAATATAGTATTTTTTACAATACTGTAACGTGTTACTTGGAAAGCCTTTGTGTCTAATCCCCTGCCTCCTCTGTCAAGTAAACTTTACGCAAGAAACCTCTGTCTTCTATCGTTTAGAAGTCAGCATTACACTAGGGTAGAAATCCATGTGAATCTAGGTTGAGTATGTACTGAATGATAGCTGACTCTTTGTACAGAGTCAACTTGCATAAGTTGGGAATAGAGCCATGTTAGGAAGCCATTCCTTGAATTTGTTAATGTAGGTGTTGTTCGAGGGACATCATACATTACTGCGGCACTCTTAACATTCTGAATATGGCCTTGTTTAATAGCCTAGATAGCTAAAAGTATTTTACCCTCTTGATTAGAGGTTGACTTTTGTTAAAGTCAACATGCCCTTCACGCATCTTTTGCATTTTCTGTAGCCACTCGCTTGTGAAACAGTGTGCGGCACAGATACCTGATTACCTGTGGTGTTCAGGTAATTACCTGGGTAATTACCTACCTGGGCTCATTCTTAAAATACCTGAGTATCCCGGTATTTTCAGATACTTACCCAGATACATGCCAAGTATTGCCAAGTGTAGCCAAGCCGCACAAATGCTAACGTTGAAATACTCGTCTTCATGCTTGATATGGTGATAATTGCCGTGAAAATGAGTGACTCTCCGTTGTCAGACGTGCCGACGGACCTTGATGGCTATAATCCTCACGATGAGCCAGCCCTACCAGGGCTTTTTACCCCTTTTCAGCAATCAAATCCAATTCCTGTCCGTCTACACCCGCCTAGCCAAATGCTACCGCCAACGCAGTCGCTGCTGTTCACGAAGGAACTATATTCAAGAATACTACTTGAGAGCAACCCGCCAACTATCAAAGTATGCTGTATGCAGCCTAATTGCGGATACTCGCCCGCAGCTCAAACCCATGCTCAAGCTGCTGCTTCAACTGGCAATCTTTGGAAACACTATAGTCTTAAGCATAAAGGAATCTATGATGCTCTTAAACACAAGAATACAGCGCCTTCAAGTCAATCTAGCAGCACATCATCATTTTTTGAGCCTCGGAGACCAGCGACCCATGAATCAAGACCAACAAACAATCCAGCCAAATATAGAGAGTTAGTGCTATCGTTTATAGTATCTAATAACCTGTCTTTACGCATTATCGAAAGCTATTCATATCGTCAATTAGTACGGTTCTTAAGTCCATCTGTGTTATCACTTTCGTCAAGAACATTGCACCGAGAACTACAACGCCAATTCTCATATCACCGAGGCATACTACAGCTTGAACTCCATTCTCATATTATACATGGAGGCCGGATATCCATAACGACAGATGCATGGTCTGCACGGAACTATACAGAGTATGCTGCTGTTACCGCTCATTGGATTAATGATAAATGGCAGCAGAAATCAAAATTGCTTGATGTGATACATCTTCAAGAGCCTATTCATAGCGGTGAATACTTAGCTCAGCAATTAGCAGCTGTAACAGATAGTATAGCTATTACAGGCGCTATCTTTACATGCACCCGAGACAACGCATCATCAAATACTGTGATGCTCTCAGAATATGAGAAATTGGCTAGCAACGCCCAAACATCAACTCAACAACCTTGGACATTTACTGTCAAAGAAGGCGATGTCCGGTGTATTGCACATATCATAAATCTCGCAGTTCAAGCCGCTCTTATGAGTTTAAAAGCAGAACCAGATGTAGAGACAGAGACATACCGGTGTGAGCAAGGTGCAGCTCGGATTCCATTTAGTAGAGATAGTCATGTGGAAGTCATGAATGCTCTTGCAAAGCTACGAAGACATATCTATGTCTTTCGTAATCGACGAGCATGGAAGGATACTTTACAACGACAAGTCAAAGCTATAGGTTTAAAACCACAGCAACTATCACTTGATATGCCAGTACGATGGAATTCAACACATCGTATGCTTGATACAGCATTAAAACTCCAAATACCAATCACAGCAGTATGCATAACACAACAGCTTGATATTAGTATGAAAGATATTGCATTAACTACAGGAGATTGGGCTGTTATTAAAGATCTTGAACGACTGTTCTTAATATTTCTCAAACCATCAAGACGGCTATAAAGTGATACATATCCGTCACTTAACTTTGCTATTCCACTTTATCTTAAAATGATAAATAAAGTTAAGAAGATGCAACAAGAAGTTGGCGAGCACTCAGCAATTGGTATTGCATGCACAGTAGCTTATCAAAAGCTTCACGCGTATTATACTCTTGCAACAAATCAGCAATGTAAGCACTCAGCTGTAGCTACAATTTGCGATCCACGGATGAACCATACAGTGTTTAAAAAGATATATCCAGATAGTACAGATCATGTACGAATCACACGGGCAAGAGCACAGTTTGAAGATGTTTGTAGAACATATAAGACACGGCAATATCATCTTGATACAGAGCGTATTGAACGTGAAACAGCTCTTGCAGATGCATTAGGAAATGCAAATACTAGAGTGCAAGAACCAGATTCTGATGAAGATTTATTTGCATCAGAGGGTATATCATTTGAAGAACCAGAATGGAAACGATGGATGCTTGAACCACGGCCTGGTGAGCATACTGATATTCTCAAATATTGGTCTGCAAAGCAATATCAATATCCAATAATTGCTCAAGTTGCTCGAGACCATCTTGCAATTCCTGCGACATCAGCACCATCAGAACGGGTATTTAGCAATGGTAGCGATATCATTACTAAGAAAAGGAATAGATTGTCGCCATCGACAATTAGATATCTGCTTTGCTTACGGAATTGGGGTTATTTACCAGATGCCGACAGCGACGGTGATGATGCAGATGATGAGGCAGAAGAATAGGAATAGGGGCTGTCTATTTTATTATTATATTTGTCACGAGTTTCACTTTTCTAGTTACATATTCTAGTTACATATCATTATCTATTTCAAATATCAAAAGCGTCATTTTTGTATACGGAATTGAGGCTCAACTACCTGCTAAAGTATCTGTAAATACCTACCTTACCTGAGCAAAGTCGCTCAGCTACCTGGCGAGGACCCAGATACTACCTGGGTAGTATCTGCCGAACACTGTTGTGAAATATGTTAGCTCATTATAGAGCACTTCATAAACGACTTCAGCCACCAAAGCCAACGCACTGCAGTGTTCTCAACAATGCTTATTGTAAAAGGATGACTAATGCATTAATAATGGATTAGTAATGTATTAGGCCGCCTGTTGTGGTTGTTAGTAGAATTATCAATCCATTGGTAATGTATTCATACATTATCGTCAAGCTTGATGGCGCCATCGTGGTGGCGGAGGTGGCGGAGGTGGCGGAGGTGGTGGAGTTGGTGCTGTTGTTGACGGAAGTTGTGGAGCGGGTCACCTGATGTTGGGGGAAAGGTCGGGCCACCTACGTTCTGACGACGAACGAACAACCTTGCTTGTGACAGCGCCACCGCCACGCCTCGTATCGCAGAGGACGGACAGACAGGAGGAGCGAGCTGATACCTGATACCTGAAAAGAGGGTTCATAGATTCAAGGGTTTTTTATATTTGGAAACCTGGCTTTTTTGTGGCGACGCGCTGCCTATTTTTTCTTATCCAGAAACAGAGAAGGAACGGGAGAGATGTCGGAGGGGAAGGATCCTATCAATGACGAGGCGGCGAGGGATGCTGCTGCTAGTATAGCTAAGGTGAGCCCCTTCCTCCTCCTCTTCTTCCCTTCCCCCCCCCCTTCATCCAACTCCCCTTCCATCCAAGACTTCATCCGAGTCAAACAATCCCCCTTCCCTCCTCGAAATTCCCGAATACCCGGATACGAACCCAAAAGCCACGTGCTCACATAAACTTCAACTAGGCTTTCCAACATGTTCAGGCGTAAGTTACTTTTTCCTCCACGGAGGCTCCATTTTGTCCGAGGTTCCGATGTTAGTGGTGGGAGGAGTACTGAGGAGGTGGTTACTAGCTTGGGCAAAACAGGGGAGCTAGGCGATATGCAGCGGGGGATGCGGATGTCTGGGTTGAGGTGGGAGGAGGGATTGGGATTTGAGATGGATGGGTGGGGAATGGATGGGGGATGGATGTGCTGACGACCTACAGCGGTGAGGAAGCGGCGAGACAGGCGGAGGAGAGGTTGAGTAGGTTGGAGGCGAAGATTGAGGAGTTGCTTGCTAGTGCGGAGGCGGGGTTGGAGGGGAAGGGGGTGGTGGAAGAGTTGGGGAGGGTGGCGGAGGAGTTAAAGGGGGTGGAGGAGGGGGTTAAGAGGGGGGAGGGGGGGAAGTCGTGATGGCTGGGACTGGGATAGAGGGGGGATTATGATGCTGGAGGATGGTAGTGTGGACGGGGATGGATGGGGGGATTAATAAGTCATCAAGAGCTTCTCCTGGAGGATATCACTTCTGGAAACAACGACTGAGAGAACCAGACATCCGCTGGAATAGTATAGTGGTCCGACCAAGAGAGACTCTACGCAAAGAGTTTCTCTTGTTCCGACCACTATAACATTCCAGCGAACGCCTGCGTCCGTCTCGCTCACAACTGGGATGGTAGCCGCTGAAAAAGGTTCTATAGCGCTTCCCAAATCCAAGCCCTGAAGCCGAAGTTTGGGATTGTGATACTCCTCTACAAAGTCCACACCACCGCGCCAATCTAAGCCTGCCAGATGACAATCCTTCCATCCACACCACTCGCTGCACACACCCATTAGCCCACGCCCTCCCCACGCCCATCAAAAAGGGGAACAAGGAAAGAAATGAACTCACTCGAAAACTTCCTCACCACCTCCCCATTCCCCTCATAGCTCCTCACCGTACTAATAGTATTCTGATGCACCGTCCCCAACACCGTATCATCCTTCGCCTTCCCCTTCAAATCCATCTGCCTAAACATATTCAGCGCGCTCTCCTCCCTCTGCGCGCTCTGCCCCGTCCCCTTCTCCTCCAACGACCCCGCAATCGCCCACCCCTGCTCCCCACCTTTGAAGCGGTACGCCTGGCAGTCGTGGCCCGCGGCAATGATCTCGGATTCGTTCGTCCAGATTAGGCTCATGAAGGGGAGGAGTTGCGTGCTCACGCTGATTACTGCGCGAGGAGGGCTGTCGGCGCCGTTGGGGTACACGACTGTGATGCTGCTGTCGTGGGCGGCGAATGCAAGGGCGTCTCCCGAGGGCGAGAAAGCAGTGGCGTGAACCCAACCGGCGGAGTTGTTGAGGTACTCCCCACACACCGTATTAAAGGGCAAACGCTCGCCCCACGGCCCCGGCTCAGGACGCTCATCCACGCCCTTGATGAACGAGGAGAACACGCGCGCGTGGGCATCGGTGGATCCGGCGGCGAGGAGGACAGAGTTGGGGTGCCAGGCGACGGTGGTGATGGTGCTGCGGATGGGCTTCTTGATGTGCTTGGACACCCACCAGTCGTTCTCCTCTTCGAAGTAGCAGACGGCGATGACGCGGGCGCCGGAGCCGACGGCGAATTTGGTTTCGGAGGGCGACCAGCGCACAAAGGTTGCGGCGCGGTTGATGCGCAGGAGCACGAGGGTGGGCTTGTAGCCGTCGGGGGTGGGCTCCCAGACGAGGGCGTTGCGGTCTGGGGGGTGTTAGTGGGGGTTTGTGATGGTGGGGGGGGTTTATGTGTGTGTGTGTGTACCTTGAGAGCAGGTGACAATTCTGCCGCTCTTTGGGGCAATGTCCACGCTCGTTACGAGCTTGTCGTGGCCCTTCAATTCATCCTTGAGCTTGAAGGCATTGCCAACCCTGCCGTACAGATCGACCGTCGAGTCGCGGGCAACAGCCAATGTCTTGCGATCCGCCGAGAACGAGTGGTCCGCAATAGGATGGTGAAACAGGTGATGAACTTCCGGAGCTGCCATGGTGAATTGTAGTTATAATGAGCGATAGGAGGATCTCTCTACTACCACTTCGAATGTGCTGACGATGTACGGAGTATGTTTGGTGATGAAGGGGCAAGGTGACGACGGCGTCTCGGTTGACAAGTCGAGATGTGGGGGGCCTTGGGGACTAAGGAATAAGCCGCAACATCGAACTCGTGGCATCACGACCAAGAAAATATCCAAGCTGCACACGTCTGACGACCAACCCTCCCCCCGACGTGCAAAATCGCACAATCTGCTCAAACTATTTGCGCCAGCGATCACAGCACAGGTGCTCCGCGCTAGAGACTGAAGCAATGCCTCCCAAAGCGCCGACCCCCGCGCAAGTAGCCGGCAAGGCAGCTTCGACTTACCCCCCAAACCAAACGTGAGTGCGCTCCACAGGTACGAGGTAGGCAGGACGAAGACTGACGATGGTAGACTCTATATCACAAATCTCCCGTCCTCGAAGATCCAGAAATATGACCTCCGCCTATCCCTGTACACCCTCTTCTCCACCTATGGCCCTGTCCTCGATGTCGTCGCTATGAAGACGATGAAGATGCGAGGGCAGGCGCACGTCGTGTTCCGCGATGCGCAGACGGCTACGCAGGCTATGCGCGCGCTGAAGGGTTTTGAGTTCTTTGGTTACGAGTTGGTTAGTTGCCCTTGTGTTTCTCGCTGTGTGATTTGAAAGCTCACAAATGGACAGGACATACAATACGCCAAGTCGAAATCAGATACGATCTCGAAGCTAGACGGAACGTTCCACAAGCCAGCCGCTGCTGCGGGCGAGGTCACAGCAACGGAGCTGCAGCAGAGTATCTTTAATGCGCCTCCGTCGGCGGCGTTTATGGCTGGGGGTGGAGCGCCGGGCACAGCTGGGGCAGCGGCGTTGTTGAAGCCTCCGCCGGAGCTGGGGGGGGATACAGCGATGGATGATGCGAGGAGTCCTACGACGAGTGTTGCGGGGGGGAAGCGGAAGAGGGAGGAGGAGGAGGAGGCAGAGAGCGAGAGTGGGAGTGGGAGCGATGTGGCTATGGAGGAGGATAGCGATGATGATTAGGGGGGTATCTTCATATATGCATGTATTGCAAGGCGTTCAGGGGGGCGAAGTGGGAATTCTATGGGCTATTGAGACTGGGTATTTGTCTCTGATCTAGACCAGACCAGGTCCGTTGGGACTTTAAGGAGGAGGTAATCAAACAACACCGTGAAACTCCATCTCGCTCTACTTGGATGCAACTCTGCGCTGTAACTTGAGACAATGAATTAGGACGTATTAATTAATAAATGAATACACTTCCCACCTGTTTATAATTCCAACCCATGTGAGTCTTCTCCCTGCCAAGACCGACACTTTTCGTGCATTAGCGGAACTACATATTTCCGCCTCCTGCATTGTTGGTCTGTGGCCTTGCTGTCTCCCCGTCTTTTTGCTTTTTGCGAGTATAACCGGATACCTGTACTGTAGCCCAGACGCAAAGGCAAGGGGTTCAATCTTCTCATCCTACGCACACGACATCCCCACGATGCTCGCACGACGCCAATGAATGTTCTCGACCCATTCAACCTCCGCCGCTCCCCCGCCTTCGCTATCCTGAGAGGAGCAACCGCACAAACCGCCGCGAACATCACACGCCGGGCTATAGCAGCCAGCGCGACCGCATCTCTACTACACTCGGGCAAGCGCCTCGCAGAGGACATGGCCTTCTCAATACCCAAAAATGTGCCGGCTTTTACGGACCCCCAGCGGGAATTGGAGAATAGGGCGTGGGGCTCGTCAGGGGTGACGGCCAGGTCGTCGGCTGCGGGCCAGGGAAGCGGAATCCAGGACCGTCTTGGTAGCTACTTTGAGAGGAATAAGGATTACTTTGATCAGGGCAGTCAGCTGCCGCTCTACAAGGATAAGCCGTACTCGTCGTCACGCAGGCGGCGGCCGCTGTGGAAATTCAAGCGAGCTTTTGCCCTCATGGGGCTGTTTGTCATGTTTGTACTATACCTGTTTGGCGTCTGGGGCAACGATGAGGAGAAGCAGCGCACAGTGAAGAAGAAGGGCAAGAACGGATGGGGATGGCTGCAGGGCGCGGACAAGAAGGCGGATTGGCCCGAGAGGCAGCAGAGGGTGGTAGAGGCGTTCACGCTGAGCTGGGACGCGTATGAGCGGTATGCGTGGGGCTATGACGAGTTCCACCCCGTGTCGAAGAAGGGGAAGCAGATGACGCCGAATGGGATGGGGTGGATTATTGTGGATGCGTTGGATACGCTGATGCTGATGAATTTGACGAGTCGGTTGACAACGGCCAGGAAGTGGATTGGTACGAAGCTGGATTATGATCAGGATCAGGAGGTTAATACTTTTGAGACGACGATACGAATGATTGGTGGGTTGCTATCGGCACACTACTTGTCGACGGAGTTTCCAGAGATGGCTCCAATTTCGGATGACGACCCAGGAACGCCTGGGGAGGACTTGTACCTTGAGAAGGCGAAGGACTTGGCGGATAGGGTCATCGGGGCCTTTGAGTCGGACTCTGGTGTCCCATACGCCAGCGTCAACCTGAGGACCATGAAGGGCGTCCCCTCACACGCCGACGGCGGCGCCTCCTCCACCGCCGAAGCCGCAACGCTACAGCTCGAATTCAAATACCTCTCCAAGCTCACAGGCGAGACCTTCTACTGGGAGATGGCCGAAAAAGTGATGCAAGTAATCGACGACAACGGCATGGAAGACGGCCTCGTCCCCATCTTCCTCTACGCGCCCACGGGCGAGTTCCGCGGCGACAACATCCGCCTCGGCAGCCGCGGCGACTCCTACTACGAGTACCTCATCAAGCAGTACCTGCAGACCTCCAAGCAGGAGCCCGTCTACGAGGAGATGTGGGACCAGGCCATCGCGGGCATCCGCAAGCATCTCATCACCTACTCCACGCCCTCGCAATTCACCGTCCTCGGCGAGCGCCAGAGCGGCCTCAAGGGCGCGCTGACGGGGAAGATGGATCACCTGCTTTGTTTCCTCCCCGGGACCATCGCGCTGGGAGCCACGGGCGGGATTTCGGAAGCGGAAGCTCGTCGCGCGGGCTCGTGGGGCGCGAAGCAGGATGAAGATATGAAGTTAGCGCGCGAGCTGATGCACACGTGCTGGGGCATGTACCAAGCGATGGCTACTGGGTTAGCAGCTGAAATCACGCATTTCAACCTTGATTCGCCGCCGCTGCCTGCGTCGGCGCCGCACAAGGCGCCGAAAACGTTTGATCCTGCGCCGGAGGCGGAGTGGCGCAAGGACTTTGTTGTGAAGCCGAATGATAGGCATAATCTGCAGCGCCCGGAGACGGTGGAGAGTCTGTTCTACATGTGGCGCATTACGGGGGATGAGATGTATAGGGAGTGGGGGTGGGAGATGTTCAAGTCGTTTATGAAGTATACGGCTGTGGAGCTGGGGGGTGGGTTTACGTCGTTGAGGAACGCGGATGTGGTGCCGCCGGAGATGGCGGATAATATGGAGAGTTTCTGGCTGGTAAGTCTTTGAGCAGTTGCAGCAGTTCGGCGTGGTGTGATGTGATGTGATGTGATTGGGACAGAGACTAACGGTGACCAGGCTGAGACGCTGAAATACTTCTACCTGCTCTTCGGGCCCAACGATGTGTGGCCGCTCGACAAGATCGTCATCAACACGGAGGCGCATGCGTTCCCGCGCTTTCAGATGGGGAAGCTGTTCAAGACGGGGTGGCAGCGGAAGCCGAGGGGGAAGGATGGGAATATTGTAAGGGATGCGGTGGTTGAGGCGGCGGCGTCGAAGGGGGCGTAGTCGTAGGGGGGAAGCAAAAGTATTTGTAGGAGGGTGTAGTATATAGGATAATAATATTTTATGAGTTGGGTTGGTTGAGCTTGTTCACAAAAACACCCTCACCACGCATCTCCACGCATCATCTCCACGCATCTCCACGCATCTCCACGCATCATCTCCACGCATCTCCACACATCATCTCCACGCATCTCCACACATCATCTCCACGCATCTCCACGCAGGATCCGTAACACTGTTATAAACGACTTACGTACAGCCAATTGCCCATACAGGCATAACCCATGAGATCCACTCCAATCAGATATGTTAACCGCTAACTCTTGCCAGATTAAAACACCCCCACCCCCACCCCCACCCCCTCCCTGGCCGACATAGCCGTCCTCCGCTCCTTCCCAGCCATCACAGCAGCCCCCGGCGCCTGCGCTGCTCGTTGATGAAGGAAGAAGGGACGATGGCTAAAACAAAATTTGCTGGGCGTGGCTGGTAAGGCTGGTGGGTGCATCAAACGGCTATTAAACTAGTAAACCACCACGCCAACCACCAGCCATCAGAGCCCTTCTAAGCCGCCCATCAGAAGCCGTCAACAGACACACCACGCCTCGATTGACCCCGCAGTCAACGATACACACTACGCTGCAAACTATACTATCTAATCTCTACAAGCGTGGGATCTAACTTAGAGGTCCGGAGATATCACAGACATGCCACGTGAGGAGGGACCCCATCCAATCTGCTGCCGAGTCGTATGTAGGTGCCAGTGGAACGAACATCTCGTCTTTCCTTTCTTCCTCCACCACCACCACCACCACCACCCACCATGCACGCCCCAACCCCCCTCTTCCTCCTCTCCCTCCTCCCCTTCGCCCACGCCGCCGACACCACCCTAGGCATCTACGTCTTCCACCGCCACGGCGACCGCACCTCCAAAGCCTGGACGCCCACCCACCTCACCGACCTGGGCTACACCCAAGTCCACGCTGCCGGGTCCTACTTCCGCACCAAATACATCACCGATGCCACCACAGGGATCTCCGGCATGGCGCCGTCCAAAGTGAACCTCGCCCAGCTCTCCGTCGAAGCCCCCGTCGACACCGTCCTCCAAGTCTCTGCACAGGGCTTCACCCAGGCCCTCTACCCCCCCGTCGGCCCAGAGCTGAACACCCAGACCCTCGCCAACGGCACTAAGATCGAAGCCCCCCTAGACGGCTACCAGCTCATCCCCGTCAACGTCGCCACCTCAGCCTCCAAACCCACCGCCGACTCCGAGAACTCCCCCTGGCTCCAAGGCGCCAGCGGCTGCCCCGCCGCCCTCACCTCTTCAAACGAGTACCTCTCGTCCGCCGAGTTCGCGGCACTAGACAAGAAGACGCGCGCCTTCTACGCCGCGCTCGCCCCCGTCGTCGCGAGCACATTCGACAAGGACTACCTCACCTTCAAGAACGCCTACTCCATCTACGACTACATCCATGTCGCCGCCATCAACAACGCCACCATCCCCTCCTCTTCCCTCCTCACCAAGGACGTGCTCAGCCAACTCCGCACCCTAGCAGACGCCCACGAATTCGGCCTCGCCTTCAACGCCTCCTCCCCCATCCGCGCCATCAGCGGCGCCACCCTCGCCGCGCAGGTGCTGGAGCACCTCAACGCCACGCTGGCGTCGAAGGGGAAGACGAAGCTGGGGATCCAGTTCGGCGCTTACGGTACCTTCCTCTCTTTCTTTGGGCTGGCGCAGTTGCCGGCTGCGAACGAGGATTTCATGGGTGTTGTGGATTATGCTTCTTCTATGACGTTTGAGATGTTCACCTCCAAGACTGTTGCGGCGGGCTCTTTCCCGGCGGAGGAGGATATTAGCGTTAGGTTCTTGGCGAGCAATGGATCGGCTGCGTATGTTGGGCAGACGGCATACCCGCTATTCAGACAGAAGGAGACGGTGTTGCCGTACAAGACCTTTGTGAGCGAGATGCGGAAGTTCGCTGTTGGTGACCAAGAGACCTGGTGCAAGTCCTGCGGCAAGACCGATGGCGCGTGCGCGGAGTTCTCTACCTCATCATCGACCGATGGCGTCGCCGACGCATCGTCGAGTGATGGGAAGAGTGGAAGTGGAAGTGGTGGGCCAGTTTCTCTGCCTGTTGCGGGGGTCATTGGGGCGCTGGTTACGTTGGCTGTTATTTTGGGGCTGCAGGCGCTGGTGATGGTTGCGGGGGAGTTGAGGGTGGTTAGCAAGAGGAGTCTTGGTGGTGGGGGTGGGGAGACGAGGGAGTTGAAGGTTTAGGTTTAGGTGGTGGTTGTGATGTTTAAAAAGGGGGGGAGTATTGTGATATTGGGAAACCTAGCTAGACGATCGTTCTTTCCCCATTCGCTATATATGAGCTAGTTCGCTCTCTCTGCTCTTTCACACTGGCCGTTCTTTCCTCCGTTAGCTATATCTGTTTACTAATTGTCCCCTCCCTTCCATCAAGTCCTGAGCGCACCACAACTCCCACCCCCCCAACAACACCGCACGTCTCCTACCTCCCGTTACATCACCAGTCCACCACCACGATCATGTCTCCCCCATAGCCTTCTTCTCTCGCCGTTCTCGAAGCCGTGAGTGCTGCGTTGGCGTAAGATGAGGCCGACTGGGTGGAGAATAGGCGGGGTTGGGGGTGTGTGGTGGTGGTGTGCCTTGGGGGCTGGGGCGTGCGGCTGGAAATCGGGGGGTGGTAGAGTTAGAAGAAGAGTGGTAAGGGAGTGAAATGGTAATGTTGGAAAAGTTGGTGGGATTGTTGTCTGGATGGTGGCATGTTTATGGTGGTATGGGATTGAAGTCCTGTACTGTCAAACGTCAAAACTACGGCCCGCCAAGTGCCCTAACATGACTCGCACCACGAGACAATGAAGTTGACAATCCAATCCAACACCACGACGGCATCGCGGACAAGGGACAAGGGACCATTGAGCCCTGAACCACGAAACCACGAACCCACGAACCCATCAACAACAAACCTCGAACCCCTCAACAACAAACCTCGAACCCATCAACAACAAACTCGAACCCATCAACAACAAACCTCGAACCCTCGTCATCAAACAACACATGGAGAGGCATCTATGGGGATGGGATATATAGCTCCCCGCTGCGCATCTGCACCTGCATCAACACTACTGCACGTCCACCTGCACCACCACTAACGAGGCTTGAGAGTGGTGCAGCACGGTGCTGAGCTGTCTGGTTTTGGCGGAATGTCTGGGTCGGCGAAGGCTGTGTCGGCGAAGGCTGTGTCGGCCTTGGGCAGGGCAGGTTTCGGTGAGACAGCCAGTTAGCCTCTTTGCACGAGGCTGAGGGCGTAGAGTGCCTTTCCTGCCCTGTCGAGGTGGGGGGGAGACGAGGGACTTGGGACAGGAGACGGGGGACTTGGACAGGAGACAGAAGACAGGACGGGGGACTTGGGACAGGAGACAGAAGACAGGACGGGGGACTTGGGACAGGAGACAGGAGACGGGGGACAGGAGACAGGACGGGGGACTTGGGACAGGAGACAGGAGACAGGAGACAGGAGACGGGAGACAGGAGACAGGAGACAGGGACAGGAGGTCAGTTACATACAAATGGATCATGATATTGGAGTCGATCATGGGTCAATCGATAGACCGACGAGGCTGTGTTGCGATGGGGAAGGTGCGAGAGGGAAGTGCACTGCGGATACTCACTCTAGAGTATAATATTGCTTCTTGCTTCTTGCTTCTTGCTTCTTTGCTTCTAGGTAGAGTGATGCCATGGGGATAGTAGACAGGTGTACCTGTTGCCTGTCCACCCACCATCATCGCCGCCCTGTCCCTTCCTTCCCTCCTCCCACCCACCCAGCCAGCCGCCGCATCTAACCTCCCACCTTCAACCTCCACTTCCACTTCCATTCCACTTCAACCTCCTCCATATCCACCTCTCCGCCTTCTCCAACTAAAAACAACTCTCCTCCATTGTACACGACGCCATCTGCGCATAACCACACGTGAAGCTATACGTGAAGCTATATACTCCGATCCAACTCTCCGACTCCAACTTCGACTTCCACCTCCACTACCCACCGCGCAGGGCGCCAGCTCATCTCAAGGTTGCGAAACCATGTGCACCACCCCCACCGCTCTCTGACCTCCCGCGCATAAACCCCAAAGACGGATCTATATACAGCCCGTCCCGCCGTCCACCTTCCTTTCCCTCCGCGAAGAATGTCCTCCACTGTCGCCCCGCGCGCAACCCCCTCGCCCTCCATCGACCCGTGCCAGCTCGACGGCTCCTCGCTAGACTACCCTCGCCATGCCCCGGCCGCGCCCCTAGACGCCGCATACCTCTCCTCCTACCAGTACCAGCACTACAGTAGCTCCTGGAGCCCCTCCGCCCTGACCCCAGGCAACCCTGTCTCCGAGAACAGCGGCTACAGCGAGTTCAGCGACTACGGCGCCGACGAGTTCTTCGGCGTCAACTTCGACGCAGACGGCCAGGATCTCATCATTGGCTCCGACTCCCAGGGACCGTCGCCGCCGACGACGACAGGGCTGGAATTTGAGCCGCTCCTAGACGACGAGGCCACGCCTGGTACACCCCCGGCTGTGACCGCACCGCTGATGACGCCCGGCCCCACGAGGTCACGGAAGTCATCGCCCAATTCGAATAGACCTCCTGCAGTGAAGACGTTTATCCCACGCGCCTCGGCGCCAGAAGACGGACTGAACAGCGCATCCTCGCCATCCTCCTTCAACCTCTCTGTTAACACGGCGAAGCAGCAGGCAACCCCTGATATGAGCGGCAACACGAGCCACACCAGCGCTGAGGGCATCCCAAACAGTATGGGTGCCTTTGCCGGGCATAGCCCACGTGTGACCCTGACCACGTGGAACAGCACCGAGGAGCGGGAGCTCTCTGCTGGCCCAGAGGATCAGGGCACTACGGTTAGTGCAGCCAGCGACCGTGGATTGCAGGGGTACTTCGCCCCGCGCGATGCGCAGCACTCGAGCGCGTACAACATCCAGATCTCCATCGCGAAGAGCTCGAACGGGTCCTCAGTCGACGAGGACGAAGGGGGCGCGCGCAGAGGCTTCGATCCGGTGCGCCGGAAGTCCTTCTCGGATGCTGAGATCCCGAATTTCAAGGATAGAGCGCGCAGCGAGGAGATCGAGGCCAAGAGGCGCGAAGTAGAAGAGTGGCGGTCCCAGGCAGGCGACAGCTCGGATGAGCAGGACGATAGGCCGACACGCCCGCCACTTGCTGGCCTGTCTGCGCCAGCACCTAATCGCGGGAGATCACTGAGCACAGGCGCAGTGCCACATAGCCAGAACTCACCGCATGGGTTTTCGTCGTTGGCCCCGGAGCCGCCGCATATCCAGACAACTGGCCTAGACGCCGAGGCAGAGGAGGACAATATAAGGCCAGTGTCGCCGACAGCGAGCATTCGCGAGAACAGGCTGCAGGATGGGCAGACCTACTTCAATAAGGGGGCATCTAATATCACGGATGAGGATGTGGTGCTGATGCAGCAGTCGCGGCACTTTAGTGATGCGGCAACTTTCCCGAATATTGTAAGCCCGTCGATTGAAGGAAAGGGCCCCACGGCGAAGGAGATGATGGAGAAGTGGAACGCAGCAGCGGACACATTTTCCATCATCTCGCGCTCCGCGACGTGGGGCACTCGACGGCGTCGCCTCAGTGCACCGAGCGTCAAGGAGATCGAGGCTATCACGAGCGGGGGCTTGCTGAAGCGCCTGTCCTTCGGCAAGGGGAACGAGAAGAAGCCCGGCATCCTGACCACGATAAACAATGCTTTTGGGAACGTCGTGCGGAAGAAGAGCGTCGGCGAGTCCGGGAAGCTGAAGCGCAACCGGAATATCGACGCTGTCGACCGTGGGCGCCCTCCTGCGTCGCCACTAGGCAAGAAGGAGAATAACACCACCAGTACACTCGCGCCACCTCGGTCACCTAGCGGCACCAGGGTACGGCCGCAGTCGCCGCGCCTGACTACGAGTTTTGGGAGGGAGTTGACGCCAGGGGATGGCCATAGCCGGCGTGCGTCGGTAGGCAGCACGAACTCGGTCGGGGGTTTCTTCACTGGCGTGGGCAATGCCATCCGACGCAGTAGGAGTAAGAGTGAGCTCGGCACGGAGGCTGGGCTGACGGGTATAGCAGGCCAGTGGATGAAGATGGGCGGTCCACCGGTGCCTACTCTCAGCTCGCCGCCGATTGATGGCGATGAGGGGTATGGGTTAATTGACGACCAGCCGATGCATGATGTGAGCGATATGGATTTGGATGCTGATGATGATGATGACGACCTTGCCGACGATGGCGACTTGCAGTTTGACCTTGATACCCCAATCGTAGCTACGATGGACGGCTTCCGCGACCATGTGCGCAAGCTTAACCCGATGATGGAGCCAGGGTACCTGGTGGACCGCCTGGCGCACCAGCAGATGGTGCGGTATAAGTGCCTGCTCGGGTGGCGCATCAAGCACCAGGGCGCTATCAGCGACCGTGCCTGCAATGCTTCAGAGTTCTGCCTGTCTATGGGCGGCGCGACGAAGTACTACGAGGCCAAGACGAAGGGCCGCGCGGGAGCAAACAAGGCCCTACCTATCGACGGCGACGGGTCAGACTCGAACCCCGAGAATGCGCTCGGGGCGGAGAGCTTCCCTGACGGCGTGCCCAAACCGCCCGCTGTCTCGCTCCCGGCCGAATTCGAGTGCCAGCTTTGCTTCAAGGTGAAGAAGTTCCAGAAGCCGTCGGACTGGACGAAGCACGTCCACGAAGACGTGCAGCCCTTCACGTGCACCTACCCGTCGTGCCACGAACCCAAGTCGTTCAAGCGCAAGGCGGACTGGGTGAGGCACGAGAACGAGCGACATCGACACCTAGAGTGGTGGACGTGCCAAATCGAAGACTGCAACCACAAGTGCTTCCGGAAGGACAACTTCCTGCAGCATCTCGTGCGCGAGCACAAGCTCCCTGAGCCAAAGACTAAGTCCAAGTCTGCCATCCGGCGCGCTACCGGCGTGGAAGAGGAAGTCTGGGCGCGAGTCGCCGAGTGCCACCACGAGACCTCCGTGCGGCCCATCGACGAACCGTGTAAATTCTGCGGCCGCGTCTTCGCCAGCTGGAAGAAACTCACGGTGCATCTGGGGAAGCACATGGAGCAGCTATCCCTCCCCGTGCTGCGCCTTGTCGACCAGAGGACCGTAGATGCCAACACCATCATCTCCCCCGTCGAGGCGCTGCCGGTGCGCAACCACCACCCGCTCACTCCGACGGGTCCGCAATCTGGCGGGCCAGCGGGGAATAACCTCTACCACGGCCAGGGCATCTCGCCGCCTTTCGCACACTTCCCGCCTGGTATGGCTGGGTTCCCGCAGAATAGCGTAAGAGGGATGACTGATTACGGCGGCGATAGGATGTTCCCGAACCCTGCTCAGCAGCAGCAGCAGTTTGGGGGCATGGGCGCCGGGGGGTATCCGTATGGTGACAATGCGGGGATGCAGGCACATCACCATATGCAGCAGCAGCATATGCAACAACAGCACCAACAGCACCAACAGCAGCAAGCCGACCTCCTCCGCTCAGCGACCACGTACAATGGTCTCACGCCCCTCGAACACACGCCGCTTGTCGACCAATCCGGATTCCCGTCGTATAGCCCACACTCCGTCACCCCGGGGGGTGGCTACGCATACACCTCCGCGTCGGATATCTCATCGACGTCGGGACAGGGATTCGGTTTCGTCCCACAGCAGCAGAATTTGACACCCGAACCCTACATCCCTACCGCTGAGTATGGCGGGGCGGGGATGGGCGATGGGTTTGGCCTCGGTGTTGGTGTGCCGGGGGGAGGGTCTGCGGGGATGTCGCATAATGGACTTCCCTTCTCGGCGGGAGGGCAACAGATGAAGACAGAGCAGACTAGTCCGTTTAGTAGCGCTTCTTCGACGACGTCGCGGGGTCTTGGCGGTGGTGGGTTTAATGGCGGCGGCAGCGGACTGGGAGTCGAGGGACTAGTGGTGGCGGGGATGGGGATGGTGAGGGATAGGAGTGGGAGTGGGGGGAGGCAGATGGCGCAGCAGGGGGGGTTGCAGTTACAGATGCAGGGCCTAGTACCTGGGCAGGGGCAGGGGGGGACGAGTCCATATAGTGTGGGGAGTTCGGCCGGGGGGGTGCATCAGCAGCAGGGGGGGCAGGGAGGGTTTGGAGGACAGATGGGGGGCATGGTGGGAGGGCAGATGGGACAGGGACAGGGACAGATGGGACACCAGGGGGGGTATGCGGATGAGTATTATGGGGGGATGTAAACCCGTTGTCCTGTTATTTTTTGGAAATTCTTTAGCTTTTTTGGCGGGGTGGTTTGGTGGTTGGATGTTTTTTTATTTTTTTTGAGATTTATTTAGGGGGGGGTTCAAAAGGGGGGAGGGGGGGGTTAGGCGTCTTTATTTGTTTTTGTTTGGCGTAGCGTGGTGGGTGATGGTTTTTATGAGGCCGGGGAGGAGTGGAGGAGGGGTATATACACGTAGAAGATTTATTTGTTCTATCCATTGAGGTTATTTATCGACTTTATGGTATGATGTTGTGTGATGTGGTATTATGTGTATGTATTATGTTTGGTGGGGAGAGGCGGAAAGGGGAAGGAAGGGAAGCATATTTGGGCGGTTTTACGGGATAGGATGGAATAGTCCTGTAAATATGTATCTGGTAACTGATCTACCTAGGTCGTTCCTTCCCTCGGGGAAGCATATTAGGTGGTTTTATGGGATAGGAAGGAATGGTTCAAAAAACACATATCTGGTAACTGATCTACCTAGATCGTTCCTTCCCTATTTGTTTTGGGTTTTATTGCCCTAGTACCACCCCTTGGTATATTGCGGGGTTCTGAGAAGTGCTAGGGGGGGGATTCGTTAAGGCAAAACCTGTCGACGTTTGTGATGAAGACTATCTCCTTGTAGTCGAAAGAATGGAGGTGTGCAAATGATTTTGTTATGGAATATAAATCAGAGATATATAAACTACCTATAACGCCTATACCATAACATAGATATTTGTCCTCAGCCCCTCCATTTATTCTTCCAACCTCGGAACTACAAAAAAAAATCCGTTTAACGCCCGTTCACGCCGCTGTCTGCTCTTGCTCGAGCCGTCTACGGTAGAATCACCTCTCTGCTTAGTATGAGGACTTAGGATTACTAGATGATTAGGTTATTATACTAAGTGAGAATAGGTAGACTTCAAATTCAACTAGGTATAAGTAGATTTAACACATTGATTAACATACAAGCACTCGCACAATTAGAACCTATCGCCTTCTTATTCTTAATAGACATAAGAGCTACCTCTCTACTTAATTTCAACACTGCTACATAGAACAGAAGATAATCACCCTCTATATGCTACTACACTCCTTGTATATTCTTTAGCTACTTAATTTTAGCTACTTTGCTCTACCAAAGCTTTCGTATAGACGTCAGATTGAAACCTTCATATAGAACAGGCTCAACCATATTATAAAGCTTAAGTTCCTCTTTGCATTTAAAGAAGCATTTAAATGTACGCTTATAAAGTAGAACATCAAGAGCGGATTCTAAGCTATATGACTAGTTCTGTATAAGCTGTAGAATGTCCTCTCTTACTTAAATCTATACTTAAGAACTCCTCACTCCTCTAATAGTTCAGAGTAACAATTAGACTTCAAAGTCTCCTTAAACTATAAGGGTGCTTGATTTTCAAACAGAGCATATTAAGAACTGCTCCTACCTTAATTAATGATGCTATTTAACTACCTTGTTAAGGGGGCGCAAGTTATGATGCATTCTGCTGTTCTACTTAAGGCAGAAGTTAAGGCTCTACAAGCAGCAAATGAACAGGAAAAGAGGAGGGAAAGGAAGCGTAAGAGGCGTATAATGCAAGGGGGAAGCCTGTACGAAACGTAGAGGATATCCTTTAGAGTGCTGAGGTTAATGCTCAAGTCCGTACAGAGGTGGCAAGTAAGACCACTTAGCGGGTGGGTTCTACAGGCCGACAGCGGCGCTATGGGGTATGTGGCACTATAGGGCATAATGCCCGTACGTGCGAGAGGCGCTAGGAATCAATTATAATTGAATAAGGGTCATTATGTAGGGTGGTGGTAGTGTAATAGTAGTAATACTCGGATTTTGGTGTTTTTGTGTCCGACCTGCTTGTGTGTCCGACTTGCTTGTGAAATACGTTATTGGAAAACTCTCATTAAAAATAAATATTGAGAATAAATAACCCCCAACTCCTACACGTAAATGCATAGTCTACCTAAGGAAAGAAGAAAGACGAGGGTTGTTTGGGGGACCGGGGCATGGTTATAGTTTGGGAGCAAAGGAGGGAGACGACGTACCTCGGGCCGAATAACAAACGGTCCCCAGCAAATTGACTCCTTAAAAGAACCAAATAGCAAAAGCAAGCAAATAACATAGAGGGAGGTAAAGCTGTAAAGCTGACTAGAACGCAAGGAAACAAATAACCTGACCCCGACGGAGAACATATAGTATACCCCTTATCCCTTCACCGGCCCCCATCTCCTCTCGTACATGCCACACCACACCACAACGCAATATGTGCCAAATGGCCCCCCACACCCCACCCCTTGAATAACAAAATACCCCTAAAGCCCCCTACAACATCTCCTGATCCCCCGTATACCCAAAACACACCCCCCCATACCCCCTCTGCACAAACCCCCCATACGCATCCTCCATCGCGGCCCTCTGCTCCTGCTCCCCCCTAGTCGCCCACCCAGCCCCTGCCACACCCGCATACACTGGATCTGTCGCCCTACTATACGCCGCCACCGCTGGCGCATTCCCCATCGCAGTTCCAAAATGCGAATACGCGTCCTTCGCCGGCTGCTGCGCCGAAATCTCATACTCCCTCGCCGCCAACGCCTCGTATCCCGACGTCATATACGGCTCCACCGCACCCCCACCACGTCCATCTCCCCCGCCGAGAATAGGAGTGAGAGGCGTATTACTCGCCTCCCCATCACTCATGACATCATCCCCCCCCCCCTCCTGGTGCCTCGCAGCCCTCTCCTCCAGCATAGCGCGCTCATACCTCGCCTGCGCCGCTGCCTCCTCCTGCGCGACGCTCGTAGCAGGCCACTGAGGCTGTTCGGACGCGAGGGCGTGTCCGCCGTAGGTTGGGGGGGAGATGCGCCAGAGTTCGACGAGACGCATTTGTTGTGCTGGCTCGGCGGATTGGAAGAGCGCGAGTTGGGAGGGGAAGAGGGAGGTGGCGTCGACGCCGTGGCGGGAGAGGATGATGGAGGTTGTGTGGGCGTCGGTGGTGGGTGCGGCGGGGGTAGGGGTGGGGGCGGGTTGAGAGGTGATGTGAGAGGAGTGGTGGTAGTGTTGCGTTATGGAGTAGGTGATTGCTTCGGTGGGAGGGGTGGTTTGGTGGATTGGCGCGGGTGCGGGGGCGGGGGCGGGGGCGGGGGCGGGGGCGGGAGCGGGGGCGGGAGCGGGGGGTTGGAAGGAGAGGGTACGGGAGAAGAGGGCGGAGAGCTCTTCTTGGGTTGCTGCCATGGTGGCGAGACTGTGAGGGGGGGTCAGTAGGTGTGCGGGGAGGGTTTGGTGCTGACCTTGTGGGTGGTGAGAAGCGGGGGGTGTGTGCAGACTTGCTTGGTGAGGGAGTAGAAGAGCGAGGAGAGAGATCTGAATGTTAGATGTGTGTGCAAGTGATGAGGAGACGCAAAGAGCTGAGCGCAGCGGACTTTGGAACGGAGCAAGATTTCTTGTTTTCTTTTTTGGGTTTCTTTTTGTATTTTGACTATGCTATATAGTTGAGAGTATTTGCGACGGGGAGGGAAGCAAAGAAGAACTGTTGGTTGAGATGTATTAAGGAGGAAGAGAAGAGTTTTGGAGGGAGGAGGGTTGGGTTGGGAGATTATATATTAGACGTTCAGGGATGGTTGGGCAGGATAGGCCAGCAATTCATAGGCATTAGCGGTCCAACTCCTCATTGCTCAAGGATTAAGGATGAAACTAGAAAGTTATGTAGACTAAGTGTAGACTAAGTTGCTCTATTGTGCACATTCATAATATTATACTTTTATATGCGTATAACATATATCATCGTCACGTGATTCACACCCCGAGCCTCGCCTCAACCTCAGCCTCATCTCACCAGCCACAGAGCTCGACAAGGCTGCGCTAGTCCAACTAAGATCTAGCGCACTGGCCAACGCGCATCGAGTTGTGTTGCCTGAAGCTCCAAAGAGAAGCTCACCTCCTCCAAACCCGACCTCACTCAAAACAACTACACTCCTTCTAATTCACTCAATCATCACAATCCACAACCCACAAGCAGATCTACTCCTCCCCCCCACCATTTGCACATCATGGTCAGCCAGCCCTCCCCACCGCCCTTCACCCTAGCTTCCCGCAACCCCATGCCACGATGATATATACTGACCTGAAGCTGCCAGACCTCGATAGGGACGGGTTATGATCTCCAGAACTCCGTCTTCTCCCCCGACGGCCGCAACTTCCAGGTCGAATATGCCGTCAAGGCTGTCGAGAATGGCGGCACCTCCATCGGCGTCCGCTGCAAGGACGGCGTCGTCCTCGCCGTCGAGAAGCTCGTCACATCCAAGCTGCTGAAGCCAGAAGCCAACAAACGCATCGCCACCATTGATAGACACATGGGGGCTGTATGTCCCCTTCACACACTTTACAACCCCATTTGGAGAAATACATATACTAACCCCCTCCCCCCTCAGGTCTCATCAGGCTTAGTACCCGACGGACGCCACTTCACGTCGCGCGCCCGCGACGAAGCGGCCTCCTGGCGCGAAGTCTACAAGGCGCCCATCTCGACCGCCGACCTCGCCAGCCGCATGGGCGGCTACCTCCAAGCCTACACCCTGTACTCCTCCGTGCGCCCCTTCGGCATCACCGCCATCCTGGGCGGGTGGGACTCCGAAGTCGAGCTCCCCGTCGACGGGCAAGTCGGCAACGGTCCCGCCTCCGGCGCCGGCGGCAAGACAGAGGGAAAGACGTACGGCGGACCCGCGCTGTACATGATTGAACCCAGCGGACAGTACTGGGGGTACTACGGTGCTGCTACGGGGAAGGGACGGCAGAGCGCGAAGGCTGAGCTGGAGAAGCTTGATCTTGCGGGTGGTGGGCTGAGTTTGGCAGAGGGAGTCAAGGAGGCGGCGAGGATTATCTATGTGGCACATGAGGAGAATAAGGATAAGGAGTTTGAGCTTGAGATGACGTGGATTAGTGCGTTGGATGGGCCGACGAAGGGGAGGCATGAGGAGGTGCCGAGGGAGTTGTTGGCGGAGGCGGAGAAGGCGGCGAAGGAGGCGCTGGAGGGGGAGGATGAGGATGAGGAGAAGAAGGATGAGGAGAAGAAGGATGGGGAGGAAGGGGATAAGATGGAGGAGTAGAGGGATGGGTTGAGGGGGGGAGGAACTATGTTGCCTTGTACTATAGAGGTGCCAAGGTAGAAGAGCGCTTATGGAGTAATATTCAAGGCCGGCGTTTCCTGCGTCAGGTGATACGAAATTGTATTCGTGGATCAAGGGAGTGGTGTGAACTTTGCGTAGGATCTCTCAGAGTCTGCGCTTCCTCAATGGGGGTATGGCAAGTGGTAATTATGAATCAAGAGTCCATTGATCAAGGACGATGGCGTGAACGTCGTGAAGAATCTGCCAAGGCAGGGGCTTTCAGTAAAGGAGGTTCTGTCGAGACGTGAACTGCGTGCAGGATCTCTCAAGGCTGCGGTTTCCTGCGTTCTGGTGATTACAACAGTGTTGTATGGATCAAGGGCTAAGGTGTGAACTTCGTGCGGGATCTCACTCAACCTTCCAACGCGAGGTCTTAGAGAAAAAGGGGTTCTGTTGAGACGTGAACTCGATACAGCATTCTCCAAGACTAGCGGTATCTGTATCAAATGATATCAAACAGTCTCTACAGACCAAGGATCAAGGGCCAAAAATCTAGATCAAAAGCCGAGGCATGAACTTCCTGCACCATCTCACTCAGCCTCCCAACGCAGGGTCATACAGAAAAGGGATTCTGTTGGAGTCCCGACCTTCGTGCGGGATCTCAATGCAAGGTTTTGCTAAACGGATGGGAGTTATTGAGACGTGCACCGTGTGTAGGTGCTCCCAGGGCTGGCGTTTATTGTTGGAGGGGGTGACAGGTTGTGTATTGGTCGAGGGTAGAGGGACGATCAGCGAGATCTCACCGCAGGGTCTTTCTGAACTGCGTGTACAGGATCTCTCGAGGCTGGCGTTTGTTTTGTGGAGGGGTTGATGAGTGGTGTATTGACCAAGGGGTGGGGGGTGATCTTCGTGCGGGATCTCAGTGCAGGGTCATTCTAAATGGAGCGTATTATTGAGGGGCATTGAGACGGGAACTTCGTGCGGGATCTCCCAACACAAGGTCATAGAGGATGGGGGATTATTGTTTTCTCCGTGGGGCAGGGGGCGAATAAACGGCGTCTATGGCCCAAGGGTTGAGGCGTGAACCTTCGTGCAGGATCTCACTAAACCTTTACCCAACACAAGGTCTTCTGGAAAGGGGGGGTCTGTTCCTGAATGAACCTCAACATCCAGTTTATCCCCCTCCAGCCGTGTCACCGGTGTGGTGTGGGAGAGACGCGGGGTGGCTCAGCCAGGGGTCAACGTAACCAGGCTGTTGGCCTCCTCTCTACACCGAAACCACCATACCACCTGACTTCCCTTACTGAGTTGACTCAGGCACTTGCGACCTGATGATGGGATTCACATGTGTTTGAGACAGGAACTAACAAAAGAATTGAAGATAGTCACAAATCAAGGAGCACAATATTGGCCAACATGTCGAGGAGTCAGAAAACTCGAGTCTCGGGGTCGTTTGGCCCGCTGAATTCCAAGTCTGGTACTCGAGGCGTTCTCGGGAATGTGTTATTGATGCGGAGAACAAGTTTGTCTGTTCAACGCCGCCTTCCGTGTTGCTGTTATTGATGCGGGAGAACAAGTTGTCTATTCAGCCCAGTCGTGTTGTTGCCCAAACAGAGGACACTGCTGTTTCTGTTCAGCGCCGTGTCGCAACGACTGTTCATCCCACCACTCAACATGACTCGGCCTTTGTCCCAGTGTTATCGAAGTTTGGTACTCGATGGGTTCCTGCGTGGTGGCTGATGTAGAGAACAAGCTGTTCCGGACAGGTCCCCTGTTCCATGCGCCTTCTGTGCCTCATCCAACAATTGGTGAATTCTAGGCGGCGGCGACATCCACAAACCCGTCGGACCACTGTCCAAAGACAGGCTACTCGTGCCTCAAACAAGTCAGCGTTTCATTCCACGAAGCCGTGGTAATCGCCTCGAGTACCAAGAACAGCGCTGACCTCCTATCCCACAGCTCACTTCCAGCCCCAACACAGCCGACAGCTCCCCTCGATAATCCCCTACATTCCGTCCTTCACACCGCCAAAAAGCTACTCATCACCTGTCTTTGAGACCCTTCTGTCCCTTCCCCGGGTGCATCTGGTAACTGCCCTGCCAAAAAACCTCGCTTAGCCTCAGAATTTCCTAATCGGGGTATCAAAAGAATCCGGCTTAGCGCACCCCTCAACACACCACACTCCCAGCCAACCTTGGGACAAAGCCCCCACGCTCGATAGCGTGCGATGGTCGATCGTGGATGAGAGCCTTTCCTAGCTTGTCATTTTTAGTCTTTATCATGCATCGATCACTGCAAGGCAGAGTACGTGTCCCATGATGCCTCTCGGCTTGTATGGGCTTGTTCTACGGTTGATGGGCTACAAGGAGAGTTCGTGTGCAGGGGGCCGCGACCCAGAGCTCATTCATAGACGCACGCCACTACTGAATAGAGGGTGTGGTTCTGTCGATATCCGTTTGTTCGGGTCCAAAGAGGTATGTTGTAAGAAATGTTGTTCGGGCTCCTGTCGGATTTTCTTGATGCTGATGCGCCCAGGGGCCTCTTGGGGTCAGTACGACTCCTCACCTACCATCCTACCTGCCGTTGTTCCAGAGCGTCTCCGAGCAGATCTTTTGATATGTCCCTTGCTCGTCGCTAGGGGGCTTCCCTGTATCTGCTTTATGTTGCAGCCGATCAGCATCTGTGTCTGCCTCGATGGAATGTGCACTACCTGTGCTGTGAGGGGCGTATTGAAGGATGGGTTGGAAATCGACAAAGCACGATCCATGGCACACATCGCCCGCCCATTCCTCGGTCTTCAGTCGCCCTTCATTCTTTCAAACAGTCACACATTGCCATGACCATTGCCACGCTGTCGAGAAATGCATATAAGGACTCGACATCTCCTCCAGTTTCGGCTTCCCTGCATCACATCAAACATCTCCACTTCTAACAACCAAACAACAATTCAATCTGTCACTGCGTGACAGGCAAATATTCATATCCAAAAGCAACAGTCCATCGATACCGCACCACCACCCGATACCATGAAGTATCTCGCAACCCTCTGTGTCGCCGCCCTCGTGGCCGGTGTCAACTCCGCCGCCATCGCCGCTGCCGAGCCATTCTGCTGGCGCCTCGGCCAGCCCTGCGACAAAGTCAAGCGAGCCGCCGAAGCCTTCGCCGAAGCCTTCGACGAGCCCATTGCCGAAGCCGAAGCATTCGACGAGCCCATTGCCGAAGCCGAAGCTTCCGCCTTCTGCTGGCGTCCAGGCCAGATATGCGAAAAGGCCAAGCGCGCTGCTCTGGCTCTCGCCCATACCGTCGCTGATGCCAACCCCGAGGCCGAGGCCTTCTTTGACAAGCTCGCCATCGACGAGGCGTTCCCAGAGCCGGAGGCTGTCGCTGATGGTATGTCTGCCCCTTTCCCTTCATCTTCAATAGAGACCAATACTGACATATCTGCAGCTGAAATCGCCGACAAAGTCAAGCGCGAGGCTGAGGCAGAGGCTTTCTGCTGGCGTCCAGGGCAGCCATGTGGCAAGGTCAAGCGCGCGGCTGATGCTATTGCTTCTGCCCTCGCCGAGCCCGCCCCCGAGCCATTCTGCCAGCGTCCTGGTCAGCTATGCGGCAAAGTCAAGCGTGATGCTGAGGCCGTTGCTGAGGCTTTCTGCTGGCGCCCCGGGCAGCCATGCGGCAAGGCCAAGCGTGAGGCAAATGCCCTTGCGGAGGCTGCTGCAGAGGCTCTTGAGTTGTAGGCTCACCATGTTTCCTTGTGCATTGACTGATACTAACTGTCTTCCCAGCGGCGGTTTGGAAAAGGAACAGAATTCCAAGAGAATTTTTCGGCCGCCTCATTACACCACTACTGCTATTTTCCCCACCGATCCACGGCTATTTCATCATTTTCATGAAGAGCAGCCTTACGACTGCCGCAAAGTCGACCCCAACTGCGTGACCGTTGAAGCTTGATCTTCCACTCATACCGTAAACCTACGGATATATTTTCGCAGTCTCATGCGCAAGGTCGTTTTATTTCTTTCGCTCCATCATCCGCCGCGCCAGGCTTCTGATGCTTAATTGAGGGAGCGTGTGCATGTCGGCCCAAACCTCGAAATTAAAGTGGCTGACTTTATTATACATGGGTGGCCTCGCAAGAGCACGCTAATTGTTGGTTTAACTTGTAGTAAACTGTTTTTTTAGTATTGGGACGCAAAATTCTGTTATCTAAAGAGCCATATACATGGGCATATAGATTGAAGTCTATAATTGACCTGCCTGGCTCCATTGCTCTTTTCTTCTCAAGTTGAAAATGATAATTGTGAACTGTGACTATTTTGACATAAACGAATAAATAAGCTTACCTTGGTGTGGATGTTTAAATTGATGCTTATTATTTTATATGATTTACTCTCACTTTTCTCTCCGTTATCACATTTCTCGAGAAATGTGGATTGCCTTCAAAAATGGACGAAAGGAACGTTGCTGCGCTAAGAAATTTACGCCAAGGAGTTTACGACAGACGCCGACCCCAACACGTGACGATTTCTCCAACTACTAAGCGACTGCGGGATATCCAAAGGCTGTAACTACTTTTCACGCGGTCATCCGGATCAAGAGATTGCCAGTTCAACATTCCTACCCAAACTCTCTCTCTACCACCTGCGACATGCTGTCCCGAAGCTCTGCTCGCTCGGCGCAAGTAAGCAAATCCGATTTCTGCCCTTCAACCATTGGCAATGGCGCGAAAATCGCGCAAATCAACTTCTGTCGCTAACGTCTCGTCTCTTATCAGGGCCTTTTGAGGAACGCCACTTCCGCGTCGTCGAGCACCTCTGCTGAGATCCGCAGGTCTTTCGCAAGCGTGCAGAGTGATATCTTCAAGGTACTAGAAGCCGATCCCTACGTCGTCAAAGGGTCGTTTGCTTACCAATTCACTCCACCAGCCTACCAAGTATGGTTCCAAATACACAGTTACCCTCATCCCAGGTGATGGTATCGGAGCGGAGATCACAGAGTCCGTGAAGACCGTCTTCAAGGCCGACAACGTCCCCATTGAGTGGGAGCAAGTCGATGTCTCCGGCCTCGAGTCCGGAGCAAAGCACTCCGAGGAGCTCTTCCGCGAGTCCATCGCCTCCCTGAAGCGCAATAAGATCGGCCTCAAGGGCATCCTGCACACCCCCGTCGAGCGCTCCGGCCACCAGTCCTTCAACGTCGCTCTCCGCCAGGAGCTCGACATCTACGCCTCGGTCGTCCTCATCAAGAACATCCCCGGCTACGAGACCCGCCACAAGAACGTCGACTTCGCCATCATCCGCGAGAACACCGAGGGCGAGTACTCCGGCCTAGAGCACCAGTCCGTCCCCGGCGTCGTGGAGTCGCTCAAGATCATCACCCGCGCCAAGTCCGAGCGCATCGCCAAGTTCGCCTTCAGCTTCGCCCTCGCAAACAACCGCAAGAAGGTCACCTGCATCCACAAGGCCAACATCATGAAGCTGGCCGATGGTCTCTTCCGCAACACCTTCAACGCCGTCGCCAAGGACTTCCCCACCCTCGAGTCTAGCGACATGATCGTCGACAACGCTTCCATGCAGTGTGTCTCCCGCCCACAGCAATTCGACGTCATGGTCATGCCCAACCTTTACGGAGGCATCTTGTCCAACGTCGGCGCTGCCCTCGTTGGTGGCCCTGGTATCGTCCCAGGTTGCAACATGGGTCGTGATGTCGCTGTCTTCGAGCCCGGATGCCGTCACGTCGGTCTTGATATCAAGGGCAAGGACCAGGCTAACCCAACTGCCATGTTGCTCTCCGGCGCTATGCTGCTGAGACACCTTGGCCTTGATGAGCACGCCAACCGCATCTCCAAGGCGGTGTACGATGTTATTGCTGCAGGGTATGTTTCACTTCCCCCTTCTTATTTACCACACTCTTGCTAACACTCTCCCCAGACAAGTCCGCACCCGCGACATGGGCGGTAACAGCACCACGAACGAGTTCACCCGCGCGGTCCTCGATAAGATGTAAAGTGGCTTGAGGCCATTGCGGGAACGACAGTGAGAGTGTATATATAGAATCGTTTGATGCGTTTAGAGATAGACCGTACAAGCGATACACCTTTGGGAAATGAATAAGGGGTGGGGGGTACGTGATGGAGAGGTGGTCTGGGGGTTTGGATGGGCGAGATTGGTCATATAAGAACATACACAATAAACCTTTCTTGAACACCCACTCGCGTTTTTTTATGGTGTAGTTTGTGAGGGGATGTGCTGTTTTTGCCGTAAAAACACTCCGAAGATATGCGAGTGTCACAGTCACGCTCCATATTAAACCACGACAGATATGCATATAGCAAGATCAAAATCAAACGAGCCGCTAAGTTCTTCATTGTCTACTTTCCTCATGTCTCAAGTCTTGATTTCCCATCTACTTCATCCCAACCCCTCCCCCATCTCTAAAAAACGCACCAAGGTCTCCATTCCCAATCCAACATAACAAAAAAAAGGGGGGAGGAGAAGAGTGCCCCAACAATGCGAATCCGTCAACACACATGGCCAAAATGCCCTCGACGCCCATAACGCCCTTCCCGACGCCAAACCCAGCCCCATCCAACTATCCCACCCCTACCCAGCCCATTCCCATTTCTAACCATCATATCACAAGCATAGCCATCATCACGGGTATTCATAAACCACCCCCCCCCCCAAGCCCCATCACAACACCTCCTCCTCCTCCAACGGCTCCACCCTCACCAAAACCTCCTCTAACAACCCCTCCAAAAAAACATCCACCTCCTTCCCCATCCCCACCCTCTCCTCCCGATCAATCCGATCAATCTCCTTAAACTGATTCGCAATCTTAAACACCAACCTCCTAATCCTCTCATGCCCCGCCTGCACCCTCTGCGTCTTCGGCGTCGCGATCGGACTCCCCGCGGCGCTCCGATGCAGCCACCGCTGCAGATGCACCTCGCGCCGCTTGAGCGCCTCTTCCAGCGCCGGGAAGATGACGTGGTTCAGCGCGTCGAGCTCGCCGTCTGAGGATTCGGGAGCGGGGGAGGGGAAGGTTGGGGGGGTGTCGCACCGGAGGCTGTCGACGGATTGCTTGTTGAGGAGTTTGGAGGGGAGGGCGAGGGCGCGCTGGATGAGCTCAGGCTGTTGCTGCTGTCGCGGCGGGGGGATGTTTTGGAGTTGAGGAGGGTTGTAGGCGGTGGGGGATAGGGGTTGCGGTTTAGAGGTTGCGGGGCCGGGTTGTGGTTGGTTCGTGAAGTTGTGGAGTGGCTTTGCGCCGCCGCCGCGGAAAGGGGGGATTTCGGGGAGCTTCATCGGGGTTAGGCGGGGGAGTGGCTGTTGGCCGGTTGGTCGTGGTGGGGGGGAGGGTTGGTGTTGTGCGTTGAGGTGTAGCTGTGGTGGTTGCGGTGGCTGCAGCACGATATTGCGCGGTGGTGGAGTTGGTGGCTGCGGGGACGATGTTGCGCCTAGGTTTAGGAAAACCATATCCTTGCGCAGCTGCTCGCGCAATGACTCGTCGTAATCCGGTGAATCGGTCGCCTCTGATGGTGCTACGGATGCTGTCCGCGGCGTTTGTGGAAACTGCGGTGACGGTTTTATTGGGGACGGAGGTAATGGGACTTTGGACGGTGATTGCTGCGGCATCGGTGGTACGGGGCGTCGCTGTGGCGAAACTTGCCTCCCACCTTGGACCTGTGCCTTCACCGTATCCACGCTGGAAATATACCCAGAGTCCTTCATTTTTGTTGGTGATCGTTCGCGTGGTCTCTCTGCGTAGTCATCGACCGATTCCGAGGACCTTGAAGACCTAGCATTTGTAGCAGACTCTCCCATAGCGCCGAGACCAAATCGACTGCCCCCTTTCCCGCCAGCAGGCCGGACAGTACCGAAATCCCACAAGTCTTCACTCTCCTGGCTCATTTGTTGAGGTTGGTCCCACTCCTCGTCAGAGTCTTCCGCGTCGCTCTTGTGATTCATTGCCCATCGCTCATGACGTTCAATGAGTTCCGTAAGGTAGGAAGTCTTCTTCGCTCGGCGTACAAATGGGTGCTTCAATAAGTCTCTTGCCGAGGGCCGATCCCTCGGGTCTCGCTGTAAACACAGCTCAACAAACTCCTTGAACGCCTTCGTGAAGTTGCCCTCAAGCTTTGGCGGAGGGTTCTTTGGGATCAAGAACAGAACCTTCATAGGATGAATATCGGAATATGGCGGTTCCCCGTTCGCTAACTCCAACGCAGTAATCCCCAGAGACCAAATATCCGCCTTATGATCGTACCCAGATTGCTTGATAACTTCCGGAGCCATCCAGAATGGCGTGCCAACAAACGTATTCTTCTTCGTCATAGTGGCCGAGAGCTGCCCCGAAACGCCGAAATCTGCCAGCTTTACCTGTCCGTTCGAACCCAGAAGGACGTTGGCCGCTGTGGTATAAAATTAGCCATTATCTCAACCTTCAGCATGAAATCCCCACCCTTGATATCTCTATGCAGCTTCTTATCTCCATGCAGATAGTCCAGCCCCATCAGCAGCTCCCGTATGATAATCGATATGTACTCCTCCTGTATCGCGCCCGGCTTCATTAAGTCCGCACAACTCCCGCCCGAACAGAACTCCATTATGATCCATAAATCCGAACCCCTGAGATATGAGCCGTGGTACTGTGTGACGTAGGGTGAGTGGAGCTCCGACAGAATCGAGATCTCCTGTATGATATCCTCGACCTCATCTTCGGCATTTTCGACATCGATGACCTTGATAGCGACGGACTGGCCGGTGCGTCTGTCTACACTTCTTGGGACTTAGCAAATATAATTTATACTAAATCGGAGGGGCAACTAACCCTTTGTAGACTTTGCCAAAGCTCCCACCGCCTGGAGATAGTCAGCAACGAGCTTCAAAAAGCATAATTAGCTATGCTTCCGTACCAATGCAATTCTGCTTCGTGTAGAGAGTCTCAGGATCGACCGAGCCTCCCATGCCGCTGGTCATCTTTGCAGATCAAAGTTTTTCTCTCGATTTTGTGTCTAGGGAATTTAGAATTCCCTGTTGTGGAGCTTTTTGTGTAACTCTAGCGATTTCCTTATCTGAAGGGGAGCTGGGTACTGGGTTCGCCTTGCTTCCTGCTGTATTCCCTCAGGCTCGGTCGCAGCTGGTATCTTTTTTCGTTCTTGACGCGTCGAAATCGCGTATTGGACGTGGAATATATCGTTCTCGGGGGCGGTATAGCAAAGCCCAAAGAAAGTCGGTCGTCGTTGGTATCTTGGGCAGACTTGCAGCGGACAGACAGACAGATGCGCCTTGTCTTGCCGCGATCAGAGAGAACAAGGAAGGAAGGAGCTACACATTCGCTGGAGAACCACTTGAAACAAAAGTCAAAGAGAGAGTGTAAAGGAGTGTAAAGGTAAACAATCATCCAGGGCATCTACTAAACTATACCGGCGTATGTTTGGGTATACAAGTGGGATTTAGCTGAAGGTGCAAGTTGACGCAACGTGGTGGGTTTTCGTGCATCGGAGTTGAAACGCTTAAGCGTGGCATTCCCCACTGGCGTTTCGATATTCTGGGCTTATGAGTACGACTGTAAATCGGTTGGAAATCCCGTAAATCCTCTGCGATCGATGGTTTAAAATGCACGATTGGCATTTTTTACGTTTTTACTTTATTTGTTGTGGTAAATATACCATGTCCATTGTGTTGGCTGGGCAGTTTTGTTTACTTTTGGGTTGAGGGACGAGTGAGACGGATTCGTGGTATTGTGTTAGGGATAAGACGTGGGTTCCGGGAGGGCATGTGTTTCATCGTTGACTGCTTCTGTTGTTGCTATACCCCAATCTATGATTTACGACTCCTTTAGATTTTTTGGAGATAATGTATATTACTACTTCTGCCTCTTGTGCCTATATGAGCATCTGTTTCTGTTGAAATCCGCGCCTTCAGCTACTCTCCACTGCTCGGAGTCAGGTCTGGTTCAGGTATGGCCATCACCATTCTTCCCTCTATGACATGAACTATCTCACTGTTTTCTCCTCCATTCTAGATCTAGACCGTGATCATTAACTCAAGCCAAACGCCCCCTATCACACCCATCCATCCATCCATTCATAAACCCCACGAAAATGCCCTTATCTCATCTAACCCAACCCTCACACACCCCACTAACCCTCTAAATACTCCACCATGACTGTCCCATTCTTCAGGCCCGAATCGGCGATCGGCTGGTCCAGGATCTCAATGAGGTCGCCACCCATGCTCTTCTTGAGCTCGAACGCGACGCCGACCTTGCCATCAATTGGGTCCGACTTAAGCCATTCGTAGATCCTCCGCACGGGATCCGCGACGTTGAAGCGGCGCACGACGCGGCCGCCGGAGTGCTTGAACTGGATGCGCGTAGTGGTGACTGGGTCAGGGGTAGGTTCCGTATGGGGCTGATCAGATGGTATGCTTGCAAATGCAGCGTTAACCTCTTCGTTGACGTCTTCCATTTCCTCGTCCTGGGCTTCTGGTTCTTCCTCCTCTTTCCCTTTGCCCTTGCTGATGTCGCCGATGCTTTTGGTCAGATCATCGGGATCGTGGTGCTTTCTTTCGGTGTCGGCACCATTCGATAGGCTGTTCTGGAGTGCTAGATCCATCATCTGCTGCTCGGTGAGTTTTTCGACTTCCATGGATGGAGGCTTCTCGGCCTTTCGCCTGGCGACTGGGTTTTTGACCGTGACGTCCAAGCTGTAGCGGTCAAGGAATTCGTGGAGTTGCATTAGAAAATCCATGGACTTGGGAGCCGGTGGACCAGACCAGACCTTCAGCTGCTCGCCCGTACGAGGGTCGACAATGGCGATGTGTGGGTACGCATTTTGGTCCTCGTGTTGCTGAAAGTAGTACTGGATGTATTGCTGCCCAGCCGGGTCATCCTTGGAATACTGCATGAAGATGAAGTTCTCCTTGACAGTCTCTTTGATTCCCTCATGCTTCCAAATATCACGATTAAGAGCCTGACAGTCGAAAACGGCAGAGTCCTGGATATTGACCAGAATCCACTTCTCCTCCTCTTTTCCCAGATCACGCGCATCGTCCCAAGAAAGTCGTGAGATAAGCTCAAATGGAGGACGGAAGAGTTCTGCAAGTCTAGCAGCTTTCGTAGATGTCTCTGATTGACCCCCTGTGGCAGCAGCCAGACCTTCTCTATGCGCCGCAGGTCCAGCATCGGCATTTTCCCATATCGAAGATGAAGATGCGTATTGGTTGAAAACGCTAGGCCTCCCTCCTGGATGGGGTTAGTGAAATGAAATGGCCGTTATCCCTTCATGCATCAACTTACTTGGTCTCGCCATGGCCGCCCTTTGACGCATCTGCTGGAGGACGTTGCTCTGCATATCTTCTGAGCCCCAGTCCGCACCTGGCCCGACCAGTGTCTCGGTTGTTCTTGCAATAGGGGCTCTCACGCCATCTGCATCAAAGTCTCCACCCATATCACCCCCAGCGTACATCTCTTCTTGGAGCCTTCGTGCCATAGCTTCATCGTCTTCGTACGCAGAGATTTGTGGAGCCGTCGTTGAAGTTGGAGCCGGCGGTGTATGCGTTTCCACGATATCATCATCGGTTTCGTCCATTGCATTGTCGTCGCTGTCGGAGTCTAGGTGGACGACTCCATGTTCGTCTTCGTGACCCCCAGACGTACTCCTCGCTGGAGGGCGACTAGATGCAGCAGCTGGAGCAGGTGGTATATGTTGAGATTCCTCGTTCGCGGCAGATGCCAGCTCGGGTGAGTCGAAGAACAGCTGTATCGCTTGGTTTGGGTTGCTATCGGAAAGGTTCAAGAAGTGTCGTGCAACCTGGGGAGTTGCGCCAGTGATGGCGCAGAAATCCCCCACTGCCTCGTCCATGACGCCTACCAAGCGATGAAATTCTCGGGATAGAGTTGAGGCAAAAAAGATTATATTTCTCGTCGATGGAAGGGATGAAAGGCAGTGGTGTTGTTGACAAACGTAACGGCGCGAGGTTGTGTGGATTTATGGTTCGTTTGTAGTGGCGGACTATCGTGCTAAGTGCAGATAGGTCCAAGGTGCCTCGCCCCGCCGAAAACTGGTATTTGGTCGAAAATATGAACTTTCCAGACGAGCTGTGTCTGAATGAATTTGCCGGGCCCTGGTAAGGCAAGGTATAGATTGGGAGAAATATGTAGATCGTTTTTCGCTGTCGATGATAGCTAATGTAAGGTGATGCGATAGCCAACGGACCTGGCCACCAACGTCGTGGGCTTTGGAAGTTCCTGGATAAGCCCTCCAGTGACGTCGGGTCGGATTATAATATTCCCGGCGTCATGTCTTAAGTACACGCATTACCGTAACCGCCTGCTCGTTCGCCGACTACGAGATAGGAATAGTAAGGTTTGTGGCGAAGAAGGATAGGCAGACCTAGAATTACGAGTCTCCTTCAAACTACATTATACGGAGAGTAGTTCTCTCATTCTTTATTTCACTTTACTCCATCTTACACACTCGATTGCTTCCCCTGAAGCGATGGTTTTTTGAGTTCAACGCGTGTCTTTATAATCATTGCCATATCCGAGCAGTGGCGAGCGAGGCATAATGGCATCGTCCGCCCCATCCGAAGCCCGCGAGCTAGAGCTCGTTGGAAAAGTTGAGATGAGGATAGCTCTTGCCAAGGATGAGAAGCTTGAATCGGTTCTGAAGGTGTATCTTCCTCCCGTGCTTCTAAAGCTTGGAAGTGAACACCAAGCAGTACGAAACAAGGTAATGTTTTTTGGGCTTATTAATATTTCCTATCTGATGTCCACTTATTGACCTGTGTGTAGGTTATTGCAACTTGCCAGCATATCAAAATTAGACTCTCGGGAGACCAGTGAGTTTTTGTTTGTGGCGGCAGGGTTACCATACTCCTAGCTAACAGCACGCAGAAATGTTGTCCTGCCAGTTGCAGCACTGCTGCAGCAGTATAAAGACAACCCGGAGTCGTCCATGATACGGCATTTTGACTTGCTCTTCATCCAGCAGAGTATTGGCAAGCTCTCCCCAACTGTCCGTCGTCTTTACTGGCCATTAGAATTTAACTGACAGAAGTAGGAACAAATTGATCTACTGCCAATCCTGCTGCACGGGATCGCCAAAGATGCTGGCAAGCCTACTTGTACCACAGTTTTTAATCTCTTCTTACGTCTGTTGCCACAGATGATGCTGCCGGTAAGAGGGAGCAAGGAAGACGACGAACTTCGTACCAAGCTAGGCCTTGACGAACATCCAGAAGATGCGGAGTTTGTTGCTTCCTGGTTCGGAAAGCTTGTTTTATTCAATCCAGCCAAATCTCTTGCAGGCTCCGGTGGAGGAAGCATTGCCAGTACTGGTCTATCCGCCGACGACTATGCCTTTCTCACTCAGAATGGAAAAGAGGATACTTGGAATCCTAAAGCCCAAGAAGGTCTTAACGTAACAGAGACCAAAATAACCGCTCTAAAATTTCTCACTAGCGGAGCATTCAAAGACCCAGAGCGTTTTATCCCAGCAGTATTTGCAGCTGCGGACACCAACTCACGGATTTCTAGTTTCGGAGAAGATTTACTTAAACGAAGCACGGTGTCGTTAGAAGACAAGTCTGTAATTAGCAAGCTTTTCGATATATATATGTCTTCGAAGCCGGCACTTCAGACACGCATCCTCGCGTTGATGGCAAAATCTTCTGCGTCAACAACATATCCTGATAAGATTGTCCGAATTGTTCAGGGTAGCATCCAACCGGCCATGCCTGATGCTCCTCCTGTGCAAGGACTGGAAGCCTTGAAATTGCGGAACGCAATGTTCAACTTCATGAATTGGGTTTCTAGAATGGGTTCACCGGATGATTTAAAGCGCGCCGCTCCGTCTATTATAACCTTCCTTCGCTCTTTCATTGAAGAACAAGGCTGGCCAGTGCCCAACAGTCGGTCTTCTGATGAAGTGGCTCTTCGAGCATTGGCATATGAGACCCTTGGCTCAATGGCAAAGACGGTACCATCGACCGTCCTTGAACCTGGGCTTGATCTCATTCGTTGGCTGTTTCGGTCTCTGACTGAAGAAAAGTCGTCTGAAAGCATTTTCATTAGCATTGAAGGGGCATTGGCAAGTCTGTTAAATGCGTTTTCTGGCCCATTGGACCCTTCGCTGCGAGACGAACTTCGGTTACTGTTGCTTTCTTATATGTTACAAGAGAAAGATGACACAATCGTACGCAGCGCCAAGTTTGTGACTGTACGCTGGGCAAATCGCTGCCTTGAGTATAGCGATGTTGTGGGGAGATGGGTCGATATCCTCGCTCTGGGAAGCTCTGCGGAGGAAAGAAGCGACGTGCTCGAAGAGGGCAATAAAGGCTTGGTAAGTTGCCTTCCCTTTCTAGAAGCGAATTTAAATATAACTAACATAACGCAGGATCCATATTGGTACCGTCTGCTCAATCTATCAGAAGGGACGAATGACCTCGTTCTTCCAAATTGGGGAGAGCTTGTCAGAGTATTCTTTACAAGTCAAACTCTCATGAAAAACTCCCATATCGCCAACACTATGCTCACTGGCATGGATATCGACAGCGTCTCCGTCTTCGGCAACTTCTCAGGGAACAGAATAAACGCCTTCCATCATGCTGTGGCTTACTGCCGCCGAATGCTTCTAATAGGAGCCACGCAGCAAGGAAAGGATATTGGCAGCGAGGCAGATTGGGAACGCCAGCTCAATGTGTTACTCCGAACAGATAAATCATCGCGACAGTTAGTCAAAGATCATATGAAAACTATAAGCCATGAAGACTTGGGCATCTTTTTTACTGCGGCATTTGAAGGAATGCTATGGAAGCATGGTAAAGGGCTCGAAGACTGCGGAGAGTCACTTGTTGAACTGGGAGCTTTAGCACCTCAGGCGTGTCTATCCGAACTCGCCACTCGAGCCTCTGAGTTATTACCAGCCATCGCTTCCAACGACGTTGCAACAAGGCAGACTGCGGCCCAGGGTCTAGGCATGCTAGGAGCTCATCCGTCGAATGAAGCAGATCAATTGAACAAAATCCTAGAAACGCTTATCCAATCTATTAAGCTTTGGGATTCAGCAGTTGGAGCAGGGGCAAATAAGGTTCACGGTTCAACAATTGCCCTCTCGTACCTTCTGAGTCGCTCTATCTTCTACGGACGCATTGCGGATGTTGATGTAGCATTGATAGATGAAGCTGTCGCGCAAATTCTGAACATGGCCAGCAGTGCAACTGATGCCAGCAATAAAGAAGCTGCATTTATAGCCATTGGCCTACTTAGCACCGTGGATTTGGTAACTGAGGCCCGACTTGAGGCCTCTCCTTATGATGCAGTTGCAATCATCAAGGTGCTGACAACAGAAGCAAAGAAAGGAAATGGGAAGGCAATCTCAGCTCTCGGTAGATTTGCCCTGATCTTTGATGAGAGCACACTTGAGACTCCAGAATCACCGCTCGCTATAATACTGAAAGGTTTGTATGAATTGCACGAGCTGAGACAAGCTGAAGTTCATTTCACAGTCGGCGAGGCGCTGGCAGTAGCTTCAACAGGATGGGAATCTGACTCTTTGATTCTTACCTTGGACGTCGAAGCAAACTACAAGGGCCCAACAAGATCGTCTACATTGGAAGGTGTAGTCGGAAAAATCTTGAAAGACTGCAAAAATACCAAGCCCTCGTTGAAGAAAGCTTCTGGGATTTGGCTTTTTTCTTTAATCCAATACTGCGGACACCTTCAAGAGATCCAAAGCCGACTACGAGAGTGCCAAGCAGCATTTATGGGGCTATTATCAGCACGAGATGACCTCGTCCAAGAAACCGCATCACGGGGGCTGAGTCTTGTGTATGAACAAGGTGATAGGGACCTTCGAGAACGTCTTGTTGCCGATTTGGTGGCATCGTTTACCGGAACCTCAACAAAAATTAAAGTCGAGGAAGACACAGAGCTTTTCGAACCCGGGGCCTTGCCGACCGGGAATGGCGAATCTGTCACTTCTTATAAAGATATCATGTCGCTTGCTGCCGAAGTTGGAGACCAGAGTCTCGTTTACAAGTTTATGTCTTTGGCTTCTAATGCCGCAACATGGTCGACAAGAGCTGCCTTTGGAAGATTTGGTCTGAGCAGTATCTTGTCTGAATCTGCAGTTGACCCAAAGCTGTATCCTAAGCTATTTAGGTACCGCTTTGATCCAAACCCGAACGTGCAGCGATCCATGAACGACATCTGGAATGCCCTTGTCAAATCGCCCACGGTTGTTATCGACGAGTACTTTGATGCAATCATGGATGACCTGCTGAAGAATATCCTGGGTAAAGAATGGCGTATAAGGGAAGCAAGTTGCGCCGCTATTGCCGACTTGGTTCAAGGGCGACAGTTTGAAAAGTACGAGAAATACCTGGCCCAAATCTGGGAAGTCGCTTTCAAGGTTCTCGACGATATCAAAGGATCCGTTAGAAAGGCGGCCGAGAAGTTGTGCCAAGTCCTCACTGGGATTCTCGTACGGCAGCTTGAAGCTGGGACATCCTCTAAGAATGCCCAAGTTATGCTGAAAGAGGTCATGCCCTTCCTATTCTCAACGCGGGGTCTTGAAAGCCCGTCAAATGAGGTTCAGAAATTTGCATACGATACCGTTTTGAAGCTTGTAAAGAGCGGTGGGAAAACGCTACTGCCATTTATCCCCAGTCTCATCGAGCAAATATTGGGCCTTTTGAGCACACTAGAGCCAGATATCATCAACTATCTTCACATGAACGCTGCGAAGTACGATACCACGCAAGAGAAGATTGACGAGGCCCGTAGTACTGCTATTTCGCATTCACCAATGATGGAGGCCATCGAACGATGCTTGGATCACCTTGACGATAAGACAATGAAAGACCTGGTGCCTCACCTGGAAAATGTCATCAAGACAGCTGTTGGCATGCCATCAAAGGTTGGGTGCAGTGGCGTTCTAGTTAGTCTTGCGACCAGGCACTCTTTCGTATTTAAGCCCCATGCAGATATCTTTTTGAAAGATATTGAAAAGGCCGTTCGCGACCGGAATTCCACTGTCAGCGCAGCATACGCCCGAGCTGCAGGCTACCTAGCTCGGCTTGGTTCGAACCAGCAAATTCTAAAACTCGCAACTTACTCAAAGAATATATACTTCGCTGCCGAAGATGAAGCTCACCGGCAGGTATCTGCAGACATCATATACGCTATGTCTAAATTTGCGACAGACCGGTTTAATGCACTCGCAACTGAGTTCCTACCCTTCGTTTTCATGGCTAGGCATGACTTTGACGAGCATGTTAGAGATCAATTTACTAAAACTTGGGATGAGAATGTCGGCGGTTCTCGCGCTGTCCTTCTATATCTACAGGAGATTACCGACATCGCAGTCGAGCGTCTCGATTCGCCGAAATGGACTATCAAGCATACTGCCGCCCTTACTATAGCAGATGTTGTAACCTCTGCCGGCACAGATATCAGCATCCCACACTCCGCAGCTATATGGCCTGCGCTCGAAAGTGCCCTTGCGGTTAAAACTTTCGATGGCAAAGAGAAGGTCTTGACTAGTTTTGTCAAGTTTTCACAGGCCAGTAAGACGTTTTGGTCGAAGGATCCAAAAATCACTGGGCAAATGACAAAGATCGCAATCCGAGAGGCGAAACGAAATAACGATGCATATCGCCCTCATGCTTTCCTTGCCCTAGGCGAATATGCCGAGGCGAGAACAGATACGGACCTCTTCATCGAGGTGCACGATGTCATTTGGCCATGGCTCGAAAAGGCCATTAGCGACGATAAAATGGACGTTGATGACAAGGACGACAAGAAAGCTAGCTCCTTAGATACGCTCACGATCACCAACGGTGTCTCGGCCTTAATACGTGCTGTGAACACGAAATCAGGAGTTGTGGAGAATACACTCTCTCACCTCCGGCAACTGCTCGAGCGAATAAAGGCAGTCTTTGCAAGCCAGAAATCAAGCATAAATGCTCGCGTGGCCCTCTATGAGCGCTCTAAACTCAAGTTCTCCGCCCTGGCTAAAGGTACACCGCAAGCTGCAGACAACTATGCTCTTGCGGCGGGCTATTTCTCGTTGCTGGAAGTGCCGTCTGGTGTGGGCAGCGAGGTGGCGAGGACAAAGCGCGCGGAGGCTGCGGAAGCAGTGATTGATGCGGTTGTTGCAGGCGTGTTTGGGCAGGATCAGGCAGGGAGAGTAGGGTTGAGAGAGGACTTTGGGAAGCAGCTCCGTGAGGCCTCTGCGAATGAGCGCGCGCTAGGGGTGAAGAGGGTGCTGCAGAGCTGTTCTGAGAAGTTGAGCAAGATCTAGCGGTTTTTCAGACCCCCGGGTGTTGTGAAGGGGAGGGAGCAGGAGATTCATGCTTGCATTTAGACTCTAGATAGAAGATGCGATGCCTTCAGTGTGGCTTTGAGCGAAATATTTATAAACTAAACTCCAGCTTTTGTGACAGCTAGTTATAGCAAACCGTGAGTAGTATCTACGCCCGCTTCATAAAACTATTGTAGGGCTAAAATAATTTGTTCTGCAATTGCATTCCAAGATCAGAAAAGATTGCCATATATAGGCCGTCAACTTCATCATAATCACTATTCGCACACCAACCCTCAAAGACCCCCAATCCCACTCTCCCACCAATACTTTCCTTGATACCACCCAATATCAACATGCGCCCACGTCCACCACCCATACCCCTTCGGCCCCAACCCGAGCCATCGAAACGGGCTCACTATAATCGGCTCATACAACCATGTCCCGCCCGCCGACATATCATTCATGAACAGCGGCGCCGTCGCATACAGCCACATGTACCCAAAAACCCCATTCCCCGTCCTTCTCGCCCACACCGGCAGCCGCTCGATCCAAGGCCGGAGCACCGCGCAGAACGAGGTCTGCACCACCACCGCCACGAGCTGCAGCAGGAAGTACGCGAACTGGCGCTGTGGATGCGTGGGGAGGACTTGCACGAAGCTGCCGGTGGCGTGCATGGCGCCTGATATTATGAAGGCGATGGTAATTCCGACGAGTTGCGACGCGATGCCATTGCTAGGCAGCCAGCCTTTGCGAATGAGGTAATTCGTCGGCGCGGTGAAGCCGGCACGAAAGGTTTGGTGCCACCAGGTGCCCCAGAAGCCGGAGAGTCCTTTGTGGAGGATGGCGGAGGGGTAGCCCCATGTTGTGACGTACATCCAGGGTTCGCCCCGGATTCCAAGGACTCTGGGCCCGAGGAGAAGGGAGGCGACCATGGGGATTAGAAGGGCGTGGAAGTGGATGAAAGTTACTAGCGCGAGGTTGAGGGTGTTGCGGCGGATTCGGGTGATGAGGAAAGGTGAGAGACCTTCGAGGTATGCGGGAGCTTGAAGAGACTCGTCGCCGGTACGGTAAAAGGGGTCGTGGATGATCTGAAACTTGCAAAGGTCTAGGATGAGATAGCAGAGTATGAACCTGGATATCGCATAACGTGCCAGCGCCTCGCGAGTTCGAAAGCATTGGTATCCAGTCCTGCTTGTCAGGCTTCTATTAGACTCTGAGAGGGTCTCGCCGAGTGAGGCAGCAACATCTTCTGGGAGGGCTGGATTGGTAGGAATAGAGAAGTTCCATCCCCGCCCACGGAAACTGAATATCAAATCCAGCACCCAAGCCAGGCGTTCTCCAAAAACATGAGGGTATGGTTGCCAGAAGTATTCCCACTCCGCGTTCGAGTCTTTGGTTTCTGCCAGGTTCTTTTCTGTCGTAGGCAGAGCGGTATCATGGCCTTTTTGTTGTTTCAGAGAATGTCCATTCCCATTCATCTTATTTCCAATTGTCTCGGGTCTTTCCTGGGTCGTACCACCAGAGGCAGCCCGAATACCATTCTGTAACGCCTTACGTCGGCGCTCGAGGCGCGCAGCCGTAAACTGGGGACGCCCAAAGATCAACCACATCGTGCTCCATATTATAACATATACCGATGCAACGCCAGAGACGTAAGAAACAGCTGGGTCCAGGGAAATCCGATGACGGATATTGGAAACCTCAACTGCAATGACGGCAAACCAAACCGACCATCGTAACTGGTATAAGAAGCGGTTTTGTCGGTGGTCTATGATGAGGAAACCAGCTAGGAGGGCGAAGCTGAAGAACACTTGTGGGAATAAAAGGGGACGCTTGATGCCCGACGCGATGGCATTGTCATACTGAAGACGCAGGTATTCCAAGGTCCCATGCTGAGAGGGAATGCGCGGTTGAGAATTCGCCATGCTGCACATGGGCAAGGAGGATATCCAAAAAGGAATGCACTCGAATAAGGAGGATATCCAGCAAGAACTACACTCGAAATAGGAGGTTACCACAGCAAGGAGGTGCTTATTACAAAAGGAGAGGACAACTTGGAATGCAAAAACTGAGAAACGCGGGGCTCCAGTTTCTCAAGCTAAAGAAAGGACAGTCAGCATAGAAGCAAGGTAACACCAGCTGCAGCAGAAGTCACACTCGCACGGCGCGTAGACTGTAGAGCTGTAGAGCTGTGTGGCACTGGAATCTGAGGTCTCGAAGACAGTCTTTGCCAAAACAGGCAACAGTCAGTACGGAAGCAAGGTAACGCCAGCTGCAGCAGAAGTGCACAGCGCGTGAAGCTGTGTAGCTATGTAGCTGTGGGATCTGAGGCCTCCAAGACGACACCACAGGTCATATAAAGTGAGACAGTAAAGCACTCTCCGGCCACTGATTTGGACCCAAAGCGCCCCCAATACTCGGAGAGTCCTATGTAACCAGAGTGAGAAGCGCCAATACAATTGGTTTCTCACACTGCCTGAGTTATCAATATACAGACTCATAATCTGCCTGAATGGACGTATCGCTTGGGGCCGCCTAGGGGCCAGGGCTCAATGTTAATACGTGATCACCCAGTAGCGGCCAATCATTCGGAGACATATCGCTCCTCCCGGAGATCCAAGCTCACATGAGGCTGCAAGATATATCGAATTAGGCCTCTGCCTCCAATAATCGCTCGGATACCAACCACGACATCGACAACAATAACACAATCCCTTGCATGAGCTTACGCCACAGCTCACCCCAACACAGCACGGCAGTCATCGGAGTGACAGCTGTTAGTGTGTGATCGCCCAATTGAGCTGTTTATTGCCGTCCTGCAGGTGCAAGGTGATAGATGGATATCACAGCAGCTCTTAGAAATTTGGCAGGATGAGTACGGGACGAGGCTGATTGCTAGCCTTGCAGATGTTGGCGACGTCAGAAAACTTTTTTTAGCGCGCCGTGGCGTCATGGGAAATATCACTACTTTGAGAAGACCAAATAACAAAAGTAATAGATAATTTTGCATATTGAAATACTGCAATTTATTCTTAAAGACTGGGGAGAATAGATAAATATAAAAAAAACCCCAAGTTTCAAATTTGAGGAAGCCCGCAATCGAAATGACTTCTCCCAAAATAAAAAATATGCCCATGTGCCTCATTACCACAAAACAGCAAAAAATGATTGAGGACTCCTCAAGAGAGCACTCGGGATTTGAGCCCGAGGCGGGGCTCGAACCCGCGACCTTGAGATGATCTCATATCCTAAGGATAGGAAGTAAGAGTCACACGCTCTACCGATTGAGCTACCCAGGCGGGTTTGGTTGAAGATCGGAAGGTTAAGACCGACTATGTGCCGGGGCAGGCAGCGAGGCTTGTGGGTGGCTATGAGCAAGGTGAAAACTCAGGTGGAAAACTTAGGTGGATGCCTGGGATGTGCGGGTGCTGGGAGCGGTTGGTGGGTCGGCCGGGTTGGTTATGAGGTGGGTGGCCGAGTGGGAAAAGAGCGTGCCGGGGCCGAGCGAAAACCAAGAACACGAAAAAGAGATATAGGCTTTTGGAAACAGCGGTAGTAGATTCGTATCCCATTTGCATCTGAAAACTCCAGTCCCTCCAAAAAAATCGCGTAGTCCTTCCAATGCACTGTTTCGAGCTATATTCCACCTCCTGCCCCATCACTCACTCCACTTTCATTTCTCTTGCAACTTCGAGACGGCATACTGCGCAGCGTCGTGATATAGATCGATGAAGCATCCCGCAGACCAGGCCTGAGTCGGAGACTAAACCATATTAGCGTACACTCTCATATAAATATCCGTCCATTACAACTCACCGAATCAGCACAGAAACTCCCATTCTTATTCGTCAGCTCCGTCAGCCCAGCCCACTCGCTCTCAACAATGGCCTTCTTGGACTCTGCCAGCCTGCGCGTCACCTGCTGGAAAGCCTCCGTTCGCCCTTCAGGCGTGTCCCTGCGCTTCAGGTCAAAGGCAAGTAGCGCCCTCAGGAAGAATCCCGTCGGCCACAGCCATTCCGGGCCTTGGTGGTAATTGCGTCCCTTTGATGTCGCTTTGTCTGTTGAATCTTCGGAGTTGTGGTAATCGGGTCGGTAATTCAGATCCGAGGGGTCCAATGTAGCCATACCCGTTGGCCCACGCAGCGCCTTGTCAGCGATGAAGAGGGCACCCAATGCGTGTTTGTCGTCAAAGAGATCTGGTGCGACGGTCATGGCGATGGGGAAGTTGGGCCGGAGTTGGTAGTCCTCGTATTCCTTTCCAGACTTGTAGAGATCCTTGTAAATGCCGCGACGGTTGATAATGGCTGGGTTGACATCATACTTCGCATCCTCTTCCGACGAAGCGGGAACATAGTAGCATCGTTCGAAGTTGTCGCGGATCTTGCTCGCCCAATCGGCGAAGGAAATTTCTTTGGTAGAGGCATTGTTCGTCTTGACGCCACTGTAATTGTATTTTCCTTCCTTGTGAAGTTCTGATACCCACTTCAGTGTGCTGTATAATAGTCCAGTAATTTCGACAGCAGCACCGTCACGAGGAGTACCGGGGACGCCCTTAGTCCCAGCCCGTTCACTCTCGCCCATCTTGTCCATCCAGGTCCCGCAGTTGTCCTGGCTCCCACCAAATATGATACCAGTGTCCCAGTTGACACTGATATCAATCTGGAATCCCTCGGGCTTCATCTGCATGTCGAGCTTTGGGCCGGCATTAGCTTCTCTAAATGATATGCCGCTGGCGTGTCTTTCGAATATTTCCTGGATGATATCTTCCAAAGTTGAAGTTGCGGAATACGCTCTTGCATCATCTGATTCGAAGTATGTGTCATCGTAAGGCAAGAACCTCCGCGGCACCTTCTCCTTCAATAGGTCAAGGCCGTTGGGCACAATCTTCGTATAGTCCTGGATGGTCTGCAAGAAGAACCAGACCGAATCACGAGAGTTGTAGCGGGGCAGGTTACCACTGCTAAGAAGGTTCGGAATCATGCCGTGCTTGACGACACTAGCAAAGGCAATGATATGCTCGCGAGCTTCCGCATAACGGCCCGTTCCCAAAAAGAGGCCTCTCGCGGATATAAAAACATCTCGTCCCCAGCATCTTGCCCACTCGACGGCAAAATGCGGCAGTCCAGCTGCAAGAGAGGGCACTGCTCGCTTCGGGTAGAGGGAGGCAGACTTGACGAAGCCCGTCTGCTGCACACTGACCATCGCAAGGCTCTTCATGAACCACTGTCCCTTCTGCACGTTCTCGCTCATGAGTTCAACACCCCTGTCAAATCCTGCAGAGTAAACAGTCTTGATTATCAGTCCGAAATAACGTGGTAATAAAAAGCTGGGGAGATTTCTAATCGCATCAAAACGTTCCTGGAGCCATAAGGCTGGGGCCTGTAGGCGTTCAAACCCCTCCTCTTTGGACTTCCGCTGCAGACGCCCAACTGTATAGTCTAAGGCCCATTGGCCGCTCCTTAGATGCTGCGCGAGCGGGTGTGCAAGATCGTTCTCATCGATGACCTTCTTCAACACGCTCCACCAACCTTCGAGGCCTGCGTAGACTAGTTTTCCGTGGCTGGGAATGTCGTAAACGCCATCCTTTCCATTGCTGGAATCCATTTCTTCGGCTTCGCATCTGTACATGATGAAGTTGAGATCCACGAGATCAACCTTGGAGAAGGCTTCTTTCGCTCCTGAAGTGACATGTGTGTCAAGACCAGATGCATGCTCTGCTGCCGGGATCCATGTCTCAAAGAGCGCGATGCTCCCAGGCGGGAACTTATCTCCCATAGTAATAACGGTCTCATCGTCCTTAGATTCCATGTTGATTCCAGGAACGCTAGTGACCTTGCTAGGCAGCCCCTTGAGATATTGTTTGTCTCCCAATGCAGCATCACGGGCCTCTTCCGAATCATCAACCTCGAGCATCCAGCTTCCAAGATGTTTAGCCTGGGTCCCTGTGAGATGAACAGGACTAAACGCTCCGTTGCCATTTTTGTAGCCAGGGAACGCAGTGTGAGCAATCAAGAAATATCCTTTTCTCGACTCGGGATGTACTCTATGCACGGTAACGTATTGGTCATCATGGTGAATATGCGTCTCCTCGTATCCATCCAAGCCCATTAAGATATGAATGTCGTTCAGGAGTTTCCTGACACCTCCAATACCACCTTCTTCATCCTTAATATCGACTGGCTTCTCGGATGATGACGAGGTATATAGTCGCGTCTCGTGGACTAGGTCGATAATCTTTGGGTATATTTCATCATAACCGAAAACACTGCCAGTTGCGCTTGCACACATATATACCAAGGCTGCGTTTGGTAGTGTGTCGCGAGCCTCTCTTTTTTGTGCTGGGACTTCATTGTCGTGCGTGCAGTCCATAAACAAGGCATGGACTGGGGTCTGCTTGATCTTTCGGACAATTTCTGTCGGATCCTCACCCGATGATGTATCATTGCCAGAGATCTCATCAACCTCGAAACTGCCTATGGGGCGACCACCATGGCGATGGACCAGTCGGCTCAACTCGCCAGTATTCCAAGCCTGCATAGCTTCTCGGATGAGACCATTGATACCGAGGCGTTTGACAAAGACATAATCCATCTCCTCTGAACCAGTGAACAGTTCGGCGACAACAAATAAGTTAGGACGAACACGGCGTGCCTCATCGAGGAGATACTCAGCGACATGAAGAGGAGTAGAGTGTGCATTATCGATTCGGAAACCGGTAAAATACTTCGCCATGAGCCTCGTATACTTCCCCATGTACTCCCATAAATAAGGGGAATCCTTGGGGCTGTCACCATATTTTAATTTGACGCAGTCACCCCAAACAATGACCTCTCGTCTGAGATAGGCCCGGGATTTTGGTCCAGCATTGTCCACCAGGGCATTTGCTGCCCATATCCATCCGTTGTTCACAAGAGCCAGGTCTTCCTGCTTGTGTTTCTTGGTGGTGTCATTCTGAGGAAGCCTGGTGAAGTAAGACTCGATGAGTGGGTTTTTATCGTTGATAGGACCAAGCTTTGGTCCATGGTCATCCAGGCGTACATATTTAACGCGGTTGAAGATCTGCTCCAGAACTTCTGCAATATCTTCGTCATATTCTTTGTAATATGGTAGGTTTACCTCTTCCAAAATTTTAGAGATATGATTCCGCACCTCGTCGCTATCAGCGGCATTGCCGTTGGACTTTCCATGCAATTCTGTCAACAAAGCAGCAGCAATGGCTGGATCCATCTTTCGTCTATAGCGTTCTCCCAACCGGTCGGTCCCCAGCATAGCTTTCTCAGTGATAAACTTAGCATGCTCCTTATGCGAAGCATCTTTGCTCCCAAATCCCTCGGCGGGGACCTTGACATTCCCAGATACCCATGCGTCCACAGCTGCATTGACATCTCTTTTAACATCAATGGCATAGTACTCCCATAATTTAAGGCTGTCAATGACCTTGGTTTTAATGCCATCCATGATCAACAGCAAGTCCTCGACGGTCTTAATATCCGTCGGCAGCCCCAGCTTCTCCAATTCGCTGCCGAACTTTAGCAGTTCTGTGTCGAGTTTGAGTGCTGACTCTAGCCACGGGGCAGTAGACATATTGTATCCCACTTCTGGGTGCTCTTGAAGCCATTCACTGTTATCGGCAGTATGGTTCCAAACCACATCGGTCAGGCCCAATAGCCCATGCTCTTTCTCCATAACATCGACCAGTTGAGCAATATCCTTCTCACCCCCAGGAAAACATTCGGGGTCCCATCCTAGCTGGTTTGCTATGCTATATGGCGAATTTGAGTTCCCTCTTCCTTGTAGAGGTGTGAAATGAATCATGTTATAGCCGCGTCCGCTGATACCGCGCAGGTGTTTTTGCCAATCTGTTGGATATTTCCCCATGAATTTTGATATGACAGATATTATTGACAGGGCAGCCATTGGGAGCTGTTTATCTCCCAGACTGAGAAGTGGGGCGACATCGATGTAGTAGAGAGGAGTTTTCGTCGGTTCTGATTCTGATGGGGTTGAACCTGCGCCGTCGAGATCTGGTAATGGAGAGTATGTCGTATAAAAAGCGAACGAGCCAGATGATTGAATCGGGATGTCAATCTCTAGTGTGCGGTTGAAGTCTGGTTCCAGCCTGATGATGTGTTGGGAATAAACAATTTCATGGGGCCGCATTGAGAGACTTACTTGAATTCCCTGAAGGCATCCCGCCTGAATGGCTCTGCTGGTGCATTGATGTTGACCCATAAGCTCCCATGCCTGCATATGGAAGAAGTGCCCTCGATGGCAAAGCGTACAACGATTGGCGCTGCGAACTTTGGCTCGAGGTAAATGTATCCTCCAGGTACGTCTGGGGATCCGTCGTCAAGAAGCGGGAGGAGATAGACCTCGTTCGCAGCCTTCGATGCGCTCGGTGCCATGGTGATTATGAGATTGCCTGAACCAGCAAACGTCTGAGTGGAGGGGGGGGGGGGGGGGTGAGAATATATGGGAAGAACAGCTATAGGACCAGGTGCGGGGGGCTGATTGGTGATGACAGGCTGCATGTAAGCAAAGGATGACGGACGCTTTTCACCAGTGCTCTCAAGAAGTCAATTGCTTGATCTCTAACGCTGTACGAGAGAAAAAAGACGCGGATGGAGGGAAACTGGGAGCTCGACTGATGTTGAGATAGTCGGGTACAAAACCGTTTATCGCACTTTGTTTAGATCTGTCCGCGTTGAGAGCGACGAGCCACAACGTCATAGTTCTATGTTTTTTGGATACCGCATTTGAGACTCGGGCGGGGCCACTCCGAGGTCCGCGCACCGTACACGGGTTTTGCTGGTGGGACAACCGAGACGGAATTATCCTACACAACAGCTATAAAGTTATCATTTTTTCCATGGATAGGCAGTTATATGGGCCATTGGCTTGACAACCTGTGAGCCAGAAAGAAAGCCTCTTTGGGCAGCGTCTTACTGCGTTTCACGTGTTTGGGATGGAATAGCTTGATGTACTTTAGCTCTTGATATTAGCGGTGAGGTGAGGGGCAAGCACGCATTCACACTCACGAGTAAGGGTTTGTCTGGGAATAGAAATATTGCACTAATTGCGCAATATTATTGATTCAAATGAATTCAAATGGATTATTTACATTCTAGTTATGAGCATAAGGGTAAAATAAGAAAGATATTGGCAAAAATCTCACACCAACGTGAATTAATTCAGCTCGCGAGGCTGTCAGTGGTATGATCCCCCCAGTCACAATTTCCACGCCAAACCTCCGACTCTTTCATATCGATAAATAGCGACCCCGCCACCACCTTCAAATGAGAAATAAATAATATTCACAAACACAAACATCTCACAGTTGGATTCACCTGATCCAGGCACCCTCAGTTCAATATGTCTGTAAGTAACATGACAAACAGAGAGCTCGAAACCACTGCTCAGAGCTAATTCATTGCACAGTCGTCATTCTTCATCGAGAACAAGGACGTCGGTAACAGAGCGGGCACAGAAGATTGGCGCAGTAAGACCTCACCCGATCCCCCGATCCAAAGAACACATACTAACAATACCCCCCTCCAGTCCGCGGCTACAACCCCCTCACCCCCCCCGGCCTCCTCCAACACGAAATCCCCCAAACGCCCGAGTCCAAAGAGACCGTCATCTCCGGCCGCGACGAGTCCGTCGCCATCGTTTCCGGCACCGACGCCCAACACCGCCTCCTCGTCATCATCGGCCCATGCTCGATCCACGACCCCGCCGCGGCGCTGGAATACTGCGACAAGCTGCTCGCGCTGAAGGAGAAATACAAGGATGAGCTGCTCATCGTCATGCGCTCTTACCTCGAGAAGCCGCGCACGACTGTGGGCTGGAAGGGTCTGATCAACGACCCGGATATTGATAACAGCTTCCAGATCAACAAGGGATTGAGGATTTCGAGACAGTTGTTCGTGGATCTCACGACCAGGGGTATGCCGCTCGCCAGCGAGATGTTAGATACCATCTCCCCGCAGTTCTTCTCGGATCTGCTCAGTGTCGGCGCCGTCGGGGCCAGGACGACTGAATCGCAACTCCACAGAGAGCTGGCGAGTGGCCTGTCCTTCCCTGTTGGTTTCAAGAACGGTACAGATGGCTCGTTGGGCGTTGCTATCGACGCCATTGGTGCTGTCAGACACCCACATCACTTCTTGTCTGTTACAAAGCCGGGTGTCGTTGCTATTGTCGGCACGGTTGGCAATGAGGACTGCTTCGTTGTTCTGCGCGGTGGCACCAAGGGAACAAACTTCGATGCGAAGAGTGTTGCTGAGGCTAAGGCTGCCCTGCAGAAGTCGGGCGTGAGGGAGAGATTGATGGTTGATTGCAGCCACGGCAACTCTCAAAAGGACCACCGTAACCAGCCAAAGGTTGCGGCGGTGCTGGCTGAGCAGATTGCCAAGGGTGAGACGGCTATCATGGGTGTTATGATTGAGAGCAATATCAATGAGGGTATGTTCCCTCCACAGTTAATTAATAAGGCCTACTAACGAATATAGGCAACCAGAAGGTTCCAAAGGAGGGCGGGGCAGGACTGAAATACGGTGTGAGTATCACTGATGCTTGCATTGGGTGGTACGACACAGAGTGCGTTCTCGCAACGCTGGCAGAAGCTTGCAAGAAGAGACGTGATATTATCAACCAGGCAAAGGCAACTGGGGGCAACTAGACGCGGCGTCACAAAAATTAAAGTTGATTTAACGTGGAGTTTAGATAGAGAGCATATATTTGGTATAAAATGAGGGATAATGGGATCGACAAAAGTAGTCAGTTTCGGCATAGCCTTCTCTAGTCTGTTATGGAATTCATGCCATGGCAAGTGGTAACTTCAGACCAACGTAATACCCAACGATACCGAGCCAGATCATCAAGTAGTCGCTAAGCTTTGCTCGGAACTGTTCCATGGCCTCCTTGGTGTTGCATGGGTGCATGAAAAAGCAGGGAAGGTCCGTAATGGGATGGTGCTGTGTGTGATATTAGCATAGTTTTATAGACTCTGTAAGACAGTTTGAGACTTACGGCTGCGGATATCCCTCCCATAACGCCTACAGATCTCAACTCAGCCTTGAGAATATCCGGAACGAGATATCGGTAGACAGATTCGATATCGAATGCCCTGGCATCGTTTGGAAGATTATGTAGGTGGAACCACAAGACGGGTGTTCGGTAGGTAGGGTGGAGGTGGATTTCATATTGGACATATGGGCCGTCGAGTAAGCTATCGCCCGCTCCGTTGGGATGTAGAGCATCCTACCATCCATAAGCATTAGCATGTCTAATCATCAAGTGGGATTTGGAGCGTGCTAGAAGCTAGCAAGCCACCAATAACTTACAGAGTCTCCATCTTCCCCCTCGACGTCCATGCCCTGGAGCCCATCCATATCCTCGTCTGCACCATCACTCGCACTCAAGAAGCCCATGCCGAGGAGCTCATCGATATTGCCATCCGCAATAGTAATAGGCGTAGCAATAGTGAGGTACGAGGGACCACCAGTCAGCGATCTCTGCAGGCGAAGCTTGAATTTCCCCCTCGCCTGTCCCAAGTTCGCGTTTATATATATACTTTCCAAGTAATGACATGCGAGCTCGAACTCATCGGGGGTCAGGAATGGATAGTCACGATACTCGTCGTAAGCTACCAGCTCCTGGCCCGACATGGTGAAGCGCTGAACTTGGACAGCTCAGCGTTGGGAGAGCATGTTGGTTATGGTTGTTTGTCGCGGCCTTGGCGGAGGGGCGTAAAGGCAGGAGCTACCGTGGCAATATGGGATTTTCAAAGGTAGGCAGGCGTAGCTGCCTGTGTGCACAATAGTGAGGGATAGTGAGAATGTTGTACTATTCTTTGACTCCGACAGGAACTAGAAAGGGCTGGTAATAAAATATATTGCCAGGCGCAACGAGGCTGAGTCTCCGCCTTCCCGAACTCACCATCGTGGGCCAATCATCATTGAAAGAGAGCCATAATTCGCGGTAAAAAGGGTCATAAAGGGGCAATTCACAAAGATCCAGTATAGGAATGTCAATGCTGGTTTATGATTTGAATACTACATAATATGTAGATAGTGAATTTGGAAGAGCGCAATAATCCGCTTGAGAAAGGTATCAGAAGCTCTTGTTGAGGTGATCTCGGAAAATTCTCGCGTACCAATAAGATGTAACCGGGTCATCAATTCGCTCTGATTGGCCGAGGTAAGGGCCGACCAATTTTCGAACTCAAACATCGACCACGCCCGACAACCTCACCACATAGCACGAACCCCCGCCTACCACAGAGACCGCTCTCGTCTGCCCCTCTGTTCCCTCCTCGAGAGTCGACCGCCGAGGAGCAATTGATTCACGATGTCAATGTTTGCTAGAAATGCTGCCCGCTTCGGCGCGGTCCGGAGCAGTGTGAGCAGGACCACAAAGGTACGATACAGCCGACAAGAGCCGCATCGGGTGCGACGAGGGATGGACTGGAAGTGTCAATTGGATGAGGATGGGATGTTCGAAGCACCAGGGATCGAATGGGTGCTTTGTTTGATGGATTATTGCTGACTTTTGGTTTCTGTAGCGCGCCGCGTCGTCGGCAGCTGAAGCTGTCAACTCTCCCTTCAAGCTTACCGCCGCCGGAACCGCTGCCACTGCCGTTGCTGCTGGTTCGATGGCCTGGTACTATCATCTCTATGGTTCTACCGCTCACGCCATGACACCTGCGGAAGAGGGGTACGCTCATCGATCCCATCAATTGACCTTCGGAAGCTAATATTCACATGCAGTCTCCACCCAACACACTACCCATGGGAGCATGAGAAATACGTCAAGACCTTCGATCACCAAGCGTAAGCTTCCATCAGCCCCATTAGCATCCATAAGCTAACAATCCAGCCTGCGCCGTGGTTTCCAGGTCTACCGCGAGGTCTGCTCTTCGTGCCATTCACTCGCTCGGGTCCCATACAGAACACTGGTCGGAGTAACCAACACCGTCGACGAGGCCAAGGCCATGGCCGAGGAGAACGAGTATGACACCGAGCCCAACGATCAGGGCGAGATCGAGAAGCGCCCCGGAAAGCTCTCCGATTACCTCCCATCGCCATACAAGAACGATGAGGCCGCCCGCGCCGCCAACAACGGTGCCCTGCCTCCCGATTTGTCGCTGATTGTCAAGGCCCGCCACGGTGGCTGCGACTACATCTTCAACCTCCTTACCGGTTATCCTGAGGAGCCTCCCGCAGGCGCCGTCGTCCAGGAGGGTCTCAACTTCAATCCATACTTCCCGGGTACCGGTATTGCCATGGCCCGCGTCCTCTTCGATGGTCTTGTCGACTACGATGATGGGACCGAGGCCTCTACCTCCCAGATGGCCAAGGATGTTACCGAGTTCCTGAACTGGGCTGCCGAGCCCGAGATGGACCAGCGCAAGAAGATGGGAATGAAGGTTCTGATTATGTCCTCCGCGCTACTGGCTCTCAGCATCTGGGTTAAGAGATACAAGTGGGCTCCGATCAAGACAAGGAAGATCGCTTACAACCCGCCAAAGGTTGGTGGACCAAGAAAGTAGAAGGATCGATGGTGTGAGTTAGAGCAAGGAGAGGCATGGATAGGAAGAAGGGAGTGAATGCAACGACGCATATTATACTGTTGTATTGTACTAGTTCTACGTTTTGGTTGTACAAAGAGAATAGTCTACTAGAAGATACGAGACCTAAATCTCAATATACCGTCTTATTTCTTTAGTAACTTGGTTGTAAACTGGCCTTGTTACTGCCCAAGTAATTTCACGTGATTTGCACTTTTCAATGCGTTAATAGAGCAAGGCATGGAGTACGAGCATTGTCTTCGGCAATCCGTTTTGCCCTGGAAATCTTGCCGAGAGCTCCGACAATTGTGCTTGGCCCGATAGAGAAAAGTATCTTCCCCGATAAGCTAGCTAGATTCTTATCGAGAAATTATATTCAGGCACTCCACTTCACGCTCCCAAAATCCACGACAAGGTCAATTCAAGGGCTAGTCGGTTTCCATTGATATACATGTGCAGTTGGAGCTGTCTTATATCAATTGGAAATCCTAGATTTGAAGGTCGGTGAAAATGCGCCCTTCACCTAGCCAGTCGAGTAGTGAGACGAGCAGGCAGGCTGCGAGGAGGGAAAAAGGCTTGAACAAGATACCTGCCATGCAAAGGGTGGCTATGGCGCTTGAACAGGCATCCTCATCACCTTTGAGAGCGAAATCTGTGGCGGAAGTCCCTGGAATCAAGAAGAGCATCGAGGTGGTCGACGATAGCGAAGCAGGTGTTGGTTTTGCGATCGGTGCTCTACCTTCGCTATTACCACTTACCAACGGCGCATTTCAAAATGCTGTAGAGGATACCGAATCGGATATTGTGAGTTAATTTTACCAGACCGCAATTGCAAACCCCCCTAAAAGCACTCACTAACGCGTGCGAAACAGCATCCCGATTTTGTGGCCCCTCCCTCATCGCATCCACGCTACTCGACTCCTCCCACATCATCAGACGAGACGACCCCAAGGTCAGAAGATGAAGATGGCGGCGTCAGCACGGATGTCTTTGCCGACTTCGGTATTCAGTCTGACAGCGACAGGGCGTTCTTGCGTGCGCACCTTCCGCCCAAGGAAGATGTCAATTTCCTCCTGAAAACCCGCGAAGAAGCTCAAGTAGCCACACCAGTGAAATCGAAACCGGTCCCTTGGACGCCAAAGTCGCAAACTCGTAGCGACCTACCTGGTACTCCTAGGTCTCTCTTAAAATACCACCAGCGCGCCGCCATAATCGCAGAGTTCGCACAGAAGCACGCCGCTGAGACTATACCTGGGGCCCCGAACGTCAATCAACTGGAAGGCTATCTTGAGGAGGTCCAGACGTTTGGCATTGGGCTGGGGTTGGGGGTTAACCAGGCACTGGTTGAAGCTAAGAACGCACAGGAGAAGCTGTGCAAGGCCAAGGGAGTCAAGTTGGAAAGCAAGCTGACTGCACTCGAGATGCCTGGGTTGGAGTTGACGGATGCTATTGAGGTTCTCGCAAACGTTCAACAGACGGTCGGTAACTTGTTTAACGCGAGTGGGGTACCGCAAGACACAGCACAGAATACCACTCCTACAAAGCGGAAACGCTTTCGTAAGGAGGCAAATAAGCCGAAAGTGGAGGGTGACATTGGTGGAACTCCTTCGAGCGTGGATGCGAACAAGCCGAAAGTCGAGAGTGAGATTGGAGGGACACCTCTGAGCGAGACAGCAACTACGGAAAGCCAACCAGAAAAGGTCATGCTGAACGATAGGAGATCGAAACGACAAAAGGCAAATATAGCTGCTAAAGCGGCAGAGGCCGAATTTGCTAAACTCAACCCTGGAGCCCCTAAACTTAGCAGACACGAACGCAAGATAGCATTCATACAAAACAAAGCAAAGGAAGCATCAGCAAATACTCCTACAGTTGCGCCAATTACCGTTATAGCAGCTGCTGTCGCGGCAAAGACTGAATCGGGCGAACCTGCCGCTGAGTCCCCTAAACTGACTAGGCGCGAACGAAAGGCGGCATTCATACATAACAAAGCCAAGGAGGCATCAGCAACTACGCCCCCGGTTGCGCTAACTCCCATTATAGCAGATAATGAAGCGTCAGCGAATACACCCACAGTTGCGCCAATTGCCATTATAGCAGCAGCCGTCGCGGTAGAGGCTAAAGTGGCTGAACTCGACCTTGGAGCCCCTAAACTGACTAGACGCGAACGAAAAGCAGCATTCATACAAAACAAAGCCAAGGAGGCATTAGCAAATGCGCCCGCGGTAGCGCCAACCCCCGTCATAGCAGTTGCTGTTGCGGCAGAGGCTGGATCGAGTGAACTCGACTCTGGAGCCCCTAAACTGAGTAGACGCGAACGAAAGGCGGCATTCATACAAAACAAAGCCAAAGAGGCATTAGCAAACAAACCCCAAGCTGCGCCAACTACTGTTATAGAAGCTGCGGGCACACAAGCAGACCCAGCAACAAATTCCCAAATCCCGCAGGTCGCCGTTACAGCGCCTACTGGGCAGATCAATGCTGCAGACGTGCCTACACCAGCCACTATCAAGGCAGATAATGAAGCGGCCGCCGAGAAGTCTTCGAATAAGAGGAAGAGGGGCGCTAAGAACAAGCCCACCCCTGGGCCGGGTGATCCTGCTTCGGCAACGGCTGCTAATAAGCCTAAACTTAACGGTACTACGAATAGTAGCACGTCAAAAGTTGCAGCCCCAATCCTTCCACCAGCTATCAAGCCTCCGGCTGTAGCCGCTCTCAACGGCCCAAAGCCAGTTGTGGCTGCGGATGATGGATTTGTTGATCTCCGAGCACCAAAGAAGAAGAAGCGGGCACGGAAGTCAACTACTGGAACTGATGCTGGCTCAAATTCAAATGCGTCCGAGCTTGTGAAGACCGAGGCTATTATTAAGCCAGAACCTATTGCGCCTGTCGAGGCTGTAGACACCCAACATGAAGCAGAGGTCAAACCGATTGTTAAGGAAGAGGCCAACGACGTCGGTTTGAATGCAGCCGGCAAGCGTAAGAGAAAGCGTGGCCCGCCGCCTCCCAAGAAGGCACTTGATACAAACACGCAAATCCCCACCAGCACACCCGCTGCTGTAGCAGCCGTGCCCGAACCTATGGATTTATGTGTAGACGAACCAGCCAGCAAACCCGTCGCCGCTCCTATAATCCCAACTACGCAACCTCTATCAGAGATTCCAGCACCAAACCCCGCGAGCAACAAACGCCGCAAGCGCGGTAATCGGAAATCTGTCGGTGATGAAAATAAGACTGAAGCACTCGTGGCAGTCGATGAGCTAAAAGAACACCACTCGTAGGGAGCCAGGGCCCTGCGAGTGGTGGTCAGCGCCTGGAGGTTGCGGGTCAGACGATGTACATCAGTCGCAGAGAATCCAGCCCCCCCGTCACGGGTGCTACTGAGGTGGGAAAGGGGCTAGGAGAATCGGAAGTAAAGAAAGAAACTAGGATTATACCGATGGCATACAAGGAAGCCACAGTTGATACCGAGGTTGAACCAGTTGAAGACCTGGGCGTCGAAACTGATGGCGAAGCAAAGGTCTCGGCTTATACCCTAAGCGTTCAAAGTGAGGCAGATTCGGACGAGAGCAGGGAAGGCTCTGCCCTAGATGAATTTGATCTCAGGGTAACCAGGTCCCAATCACGGGAAAGGTCCTCTATAGACGCAGCTCAAACTACGACATCTACAAAGCAGCCAGCGTTTAAATACGAGATGGTTCGAAGCTCCACGCCACCACTAGGCGACTCCAGTGATGAAGCAGACGATATGGAGAGTCCAATCCGTCCAGAACTCGCCCACCCACGAAGAAACTCCGTCATTCTCCCGCACCTCGCGCAATCTCCAAACAAGTCACTCTTACAACCTCCAGAACCCGCTACCGCAGCTTCCCCAGTCAAAAAAGAAAAGGCAGCCACCAAATCCCCCTACTTCTCACCAGCAGTATCACCAAAGAAACCACCCCGCTCCCCTGGCGGTGTAGTCTCGTGCATCCCATTTCCACCTCTCTCCTCGCCTTCATTCGGCCTCCTCCAGGAAAAACTATGCCATGACCCGCTCCGTCTCCTCATCGGCGTCACATTCCTCATCCGGACGTATGGAAAATCGTCGATTCCCATTTACTACAAGCTCATGGAGCTATTTCCTACCGCCACCGACCTCGCAAACGCAGACAAGGGCGTCATCGTGGAGTTGACTCGTCATCTGGGCTTGCAATCCGTGCGAGCAGATACATATATCCGCTACGCTAAGACCTTCTTGGATGATCTGCCGGTGAAGGGGAAGAGATACCGCGTTGAAAACTACCCTACAAAAAATACCCACGCAACTATCAAGAAAGGCGAAATCCTCTCCGACGAGGACATGCGCGAAGGCGCCTGGGAAATCGGACACCTGACTAAAGGACCCTACGCGATTGATTCTTGGAGAATCTTCTGCAGAGACAAACTCAGGGGGGTAGCGAAGGGTTGGAATGGCGAAGAAGCGGAGGACGAGGGGTTCCAGCCTGAATGGATGCGTGTGCTGCCGAAAGACAAGGAGTTGAGGGCTTTTCTGAGGTGGTGCTGGTTGAGGGAGGGATGGGTGTGGGATGCGGAGAGTGGGGAGAGGGAGGTTGCTGGGAAGGAGCTGGTTGATGCGGTTAATGATGGGCGGGTGGTATGGGAGTGGAAGGGGAAGGATGGGAAGGGGGATTGGAGGATTTTGGGGAAATATGAGAATGATGCGAAGGAGGAGGGGGTGGATATAAAGGGAGAGGATGGATAGGAAGTGCTCCTGGGTATAAGCAATGGCGTTACTGTGCCCGGGATTTAAAAAGTAAAAACTATAATTCTAAGTGAAACCAAAAAATATAAAGCAATAAACCACGGCAAACAGCATCATCTGCAGGGAATTCCATCTCAAATAAACCCAACCATGTCTATCTATCCCGTTAAATGCACGGTCCCGCTTGGATCACAGTCTTCGCCGTGGTCCTCCGTCGAAGCCCTCCCCCTAGCCGAAATCCACGCTAATTTTACTCCGCCCACACAAACACCTCCATAAAGAGCAGAATACCGAACATCCTCCCAACAATCACCCTGCCTGGGTAGCTCAATCGGTAGAGCGTGTGACTCTTAATCTCAAGGTCGCGGGTTCGAGCCCCGCCTCGGGCTCAAATCCCGAGTTTCTCTACAAGATTCTCTCATTACATTTTTGCTTCTCACGTATGCTTCTAGACAAGTTGGTGGTGGTGAGCACGTGTAGGATGTGGACCTATATGATGTTACAAACGAATTAAAGTATTTGCTACTTCAGAGCTGGGGAGACTGGGCTATGAGACAAACATTCACCTAATTTCTGATTGCTGGCAAGTGATGGCGGATTAATTTTTACTTTTTGCTAGGGATGAAGGTTTTTAGACACAAGGTATGGCAGAAAGAGATTTTGGGCGGAATAATAAGTGATGTTACTACCTAATTTTTTTGTATAAGGTATATATTATCCGAGCAAATATTGAGTATAGAGTTTTTATGATTTGAACTGGCAGATGAAGCCATTCGTTTGCACTGAAGTTGGTCGCATGCTGCTTGCGGGTTTTTTTTCTCGTCGCGGAACATGACGTCAATCTCAACGTCCGTAAAAAAAAGTTTATCCGCACAGCCTCCAGCGCTGGCAGCATACCACCAAGTACCACAAAATCATAACTCCAACATACTTTCACAACTGTAGGTAAGTTAGTCACTCCGATATTGTGTAAATAATCAGAGTAGTCCAGCACATCTATATATGGGCGGCATAGCAAAAAAATGCAAAAAGTTTAATGAGAGAATCTTGTAGAGAAACTCGGGATTTGAGCCCGAGGCGGGGCTCGAACCCGCGACCTTGAGATTAAGAGTCACACGCTCTACCGATTGAGCTACCCAGGCAGGGTGATTGTTGGACGGTATTGCTTGGTTGAGAATATAAGGGAAGGAGCGACCGCAACGTACCTTCCCAACCTGGGACGGATTTAAGGTGGTAGATGGGGGGAATATGAGGGGAGAATTGGCGTGTGGGATTGTTTAATTTATTTTGAGAGCGTATGATATAGAGAGTCAAGAGTTGGGTTTGCTAATGCTCTCTATGACAGTGTTGAAATAATTGGAAGTAATAACATTGAATTTATTAAAATTCATTTTGAATAGACGGAATATAAAACAACATATGGTGATATATTTACAATGCTATCAACAACAGGCTCAACATAACGTTCAAAACAGCTGTAGCTGCCCTACATAGATCCATCAAATCACTCCCCACACTCCTCCAAAACACCCTGCAAATCCCTCATCCTCTCCTCCAAAATCCTCGGCTTAACCTCATCCTTCTCCTCCGCAAACCTCGGCGGCCGTTCGCTCTCCAGCGTCCTCTCACCCTCCCCATATATCCGCCTATAAAAAATATCATAGCTCCCCCACATCGCCACCTTAAGCCCATCCATAATCGCCTTGAACCACCCCGGCGCCACCCCCTTACCATCCACCAGCTTCCTGCTAACCATCATGATCGGCAGGAATATCGGCGCCCACACCACCGCAAACGCTATCCGCCCAATCTTTTGCCTCGTGCTTGTCGCAACGTACGGCCGGATCTGGGCGAGGTATTCGCGGTATTCGTCGGGGAGGTTGTGCTCTGCTGCGCCGGAGGTGAGGAGGTTCAAGTATCGCGGCGACGGCTGCGCGTGGTTCGGATCTGGGCGATTCAGCCCGCCGGGACGCCAGGGGCAGTAGAGTGTGTGTGCATCGAAGGGCTCGCCGGTGGGTACCTCGGGCACCACCGAGATGTCGGACTCGAGCGGGTAGCAGGGGACGACAACGTCTTGGTAGCTTGCGCCGCCGCCCTCTGTGGCCATGATTTTCAGGAAATCCTGCTTCGTGACTTCATATACGACGCCGACGACGCCCTTCTTCCAGTGCGTCTTGTGGTAGTCGACTCCTGGGGGCCCGGGTGGGGGTACGTCGGTGGTGTAGCGTGTGTTGGCGAAGCAGGGCTCGAGGTAGGGGAAGCCGCCGAGATCGAAGGTGAGCGTTAGGGAGGGGCAGTGGACGTTCTTCTGGGAGAGCGGCCTAATGCCGCGCATCCCGAGGAAGGTTTTCCTGGCGAGGTTAGAACCATAGGCTAGGTAGAAGATGTTTTCGCCGCTGGATTCGTCGTCGCTGGTGGCGGGGGTGGGCTCCGCGGGTTTCTCTTTCAGCAGTGTGTTTGCCAGGTAGGAGACTACGGAGGATGCTCCGTCTGGTTTGTGGACCGCAGAGTCGGCGCTGAAGGAACCCTCCTTGGACGTGGATCTTCTCATCGTTGTAGATTCGTGGAGGGCAAAGATCATATATGGATAGAAGTGACTGTTGATGTCAATGAATCCCAATGCTCTGTGGAAGAACTGGAAACTTTAACAGAGAAATATCACTGCAATGAGTCAGAAATGAGTGCGGGAGAAGTTCATTTCTAAACTAACTTCAATAACGAGGACTAAAGAGTGACGTGAGCAAAGTTCTTATACTCAATATAGAAGTTAGAAAAAAAGTCAGACGCGCGCTTCGCACTGTAAGTTACGTGGCATCGGAACGGAGGTTTGTGTTTGTGGGGTGCAGTCACCCAATCATATCCGCACTCTAAACCACTCAGCAACTGCTTTGTTAAGATTGGCCCCTGAAAATATACCCCGACTGGGTTTCCGAAAATACAGTTCATACAGTTCACGTCCGAACTCGGATGGATTCAGATGTAACAGAGTTGTCACGGCCCAAAATGACCCATCACCATCATCGCCAACCTGGCTCTATCACCCCTTGGCAACACTGGAGCCTATAATACCTGTCAGCCAGCAATGGGCGGGCCTGACCTGACTGCCCTTACTTCTTACTTGGCGGAAAAGCTAGCTGGCTGTGCTTGTCTGCCGCCATCAGGCTATATCCAATGCCATGCCATATACGCGTTTCTTGGTCAAGATTCGAGACTGTTGGTTGAGCTTCTCCCTCTTATTCTTCGTCTTCGTCTTCGTCGATACGCGTTAAGCCAGGCTTTCTCTCATCTTATTTATTATAACCATTTCTTATCGTGCCTCTCCGCCGATTCATATCTCTTTCGACGGATAAACTGATGTGAAGTCTGCGATTGGACATCTCGAGAGTCTACCCGTCTCACGCGTCAGCCATTGGTATCATAATCCATATGAGAGCAACCATTCGTTAAGATACTTCTCGCATTACAAAGATATAGTAAGAGTCTTTGTTTCTTATATTGGGGCGTGTTGGTGGGCCAGTTTCGTCGAGGTTCAACAATCTACAGTTGTATTCCGTTTCTCAAAGGATAGGTTCAACTGCGTTGATATATCCGACTCCCGTTGTGCTTCTCTCTGGTATTGTGCTGCCAGGATCTTCGTCTTGCAAGGTTGCGGAGGCTTTCACTGTACATGATTTATGTCTGGTATACAGCTGGAAATCTATCATTTAATAGAGTACATACACATTTATCTTGTTCCCTTTATTTCTAGTTAATCTTGGTGCGAGGTCAACTTGGGTGGTATGTCAGGTGATGGGTGGTTGGCCCTTGAGACTGCTATTCTGCCCAGCCTACGGTACCACTCTCCCTCATTTCCTCCCATCGGTCTCTCTCAATTGGCCATTGCCACAATAGTCAAATCGGTGATGCAAAGGCAGACACTGGTCAAATATATCTGAATATCTGCATGAGTTAGAAGCCACCTCTTTCATTGATGCCATACCACGATTGAAATCAACGACGGCTGCTCGGCGGAGGGTAGCCGCTCAAAAATGGCTGGACATAGGTCGAAACGGACCAAGTCACCAGTCTCAAGATTGTTGAGCAGCCCACCAAGAGATCCGAATAGTTGCCCCTTTGAAGACTTTCTTCAATACCTCGAGTCATCCTTGGCCCGAAATGTGTTTCTACGGTAAGACCGCGAATTCAACTCCATGTGCTATCCTAAACTTGAGTAGACTTTCCGAGAGCATCATCAAGAAGATGAAAGCTACTCTGGCGCGCCTCGGGCAAACCGACCAAAAGGTGGCCACTGACATAGTGGAGAGAATTGTTTGCGTCATAGGTGCATTCCCGGAAGCTTGCAGCGAACTTCACCCAAGCGCGTTCGTCGCCATAGTTCGGATCCTCATTCACGCAGGAAACTCCCAGTTGAGAGACCGTGGGTTGTACTTGTTAGCTGTAAGTAATACTTCTAAATGTGCCCATTTATTCTGACTGTGCCCAGGAATTTCTACACAACGCAAACAAGAAGCAGGAAGCAAGAGACGACATCCAAAAGTCACTGTCTGATATCAGCAAAGACTGTTTGGAACTAATCTTTGTCACCTTCTGTGATAGAAGCGAATCATACAAGACGAGACGATGGGTAATTTGCACACCACGCACGGAAGGATTGCTGACAGAAATGCTGACAGCCTCTAGGTCGGGCTCTTGATTCTCGAGCTTACCTCTCACTCCGACGACAATGTAGGGCTGATTGGATTCATGCCAGAAGAAAAACGGTTAGTAAGGCTATATGAACACCTCGTTTACGCCACTAACGTGGACCTTTTAGCCGGAAACTTGGGTTCCAGATCTTGTATGAAGAAAATGAGATACTGAGGACCCTTTCTGGGCGGATTTTGACGACCCTTACCAGCTCAGATATTATTCCGAAAGAATGGTTATTTCCCGTCGAAACAGAGAAGGAGTTCATTTCTCAATACCCGGAGCAAGCTCCTTCAGCCTCACAATGGGACAAAAGGTTCTCAAGTTATCTTGATGATATCTGGGACAAGATAGCTGGCACAGAGAAGTGAGTTGTGCCGCCCACCGTGGAGTGGTAATTTGCTAAATCTGTTTAGCATCGGTACTATAGATTTTGCACAAAATGTGGTCACTTTCCCAGAGTTTCTGAACACCAAGACCATCCCAATATACCACAGGAGCATATACGTGGTCCTTTCGGATTGCGTATATATCCATATACATTCCGAAAAGAAGGGTTTCGACACCGCCATCGACATTCCATTCCATCTGATCTCGGATACTCGCGTTGAGCCAACACCACTTGATCGGAGTGTAGGGACCGAGCCCCCTGCCGATCTTATTTTACACATCAACCGCAATGGGGGGGAGCAAGCCTATGTGAACTCAAGCCCGTCAGAACTTTCTGTCGTGCGATTGACATTGAGGAATACAACACTCGCCACAGATATTGGCAAAGTTGTTCGACACTGTGGAGCGAAGCTTAATAGTGAGACTGGAAGGCAAGACTCGGCTGCCGATAATAAAGCGATATCCGGCCACCGCGATCATTCTGAATATACTAAGAAAGTTTGCTTCATTAAACCCTCCCAAAGCAACGAGGGGTTGAATTTCAAAGGTAGCCACACAGCCAAGGCTACCATGCGAAACAGCTTCATGAATGTCTCTCAAAGCGACGAGGAATTGGCATTCAACCGCCACAACACAGATACCAATCCAAAAATTTCCAAGAATACCAGCTTCATTGACAACTCTCAAAGCGACGAGGACTTGATCCTCTACGGGAAACGCACAGATACCAATAAAAAAGCTACCAAGCAAACTAGCTTCAGGAGAGCCTCTCAAGTTGACAAGGGATTTGTCCTCAACAGAAACTACGATATCAATACAGAAGCTACTGAAGCTCAAGGTATCAGTGATACCCATGCGAACGACCATGATACCGAGAGTCCATGCGAAGAATCATTTGCAGATTCTTTTGTTGGTGTAGGTATGGCCGCCCATAGCAGCCCTATCACCCAAGACAGAATGCTGCCTACGAAAAAGAGACAGAATACTATTGACAATGGTAGTAACCTATATGATGCGAGCCCTGTAGCTTATGACCGCCATCCGAGGAGCTCAGTTGCAGCTGCTCTAGTTAACAGTAGACTCGGACCACAGGAGTGTCTGCTGCCAATTCTGACTACGGTATCCAGAATGCAGGAGCGAAGTGACTTTGGTGGAGTAGGAAAGACAAGCAAGTCTCTTCATCACGCGCCCACAAAGATGAATACAAGGACTGAAGTCAACGAAGTGTCAGGAATGACCATTAATACCTCGGATGAGTTTGGGTTGTCTAGCCCACGCATTCACCAAAGCCCATTGATGGCCTTTCCTAACAATCCGGCTGACGATACCCTCCTACCTACACAACACGCTGGATCCACCGACGAGCTAATTAAAATACCACCTGCCACCGTACGGCCAAAAAAGAAACAAGCATTGAAGAGTAAGAAGCCATTAGGTCTTTCAAAGAAGGCCGATGCACCGGAGAAGGCACCGAAGCAGCAAAGTGAAAAACAAAACAAAAGCTGGAACATAGAACCCGACTCTCCAAAATCTACCACTCTTCCTCTGAAGAAGCCTGTGGAGGACGGCAAAGGAGCTTCTAAGAAGAGAAAGTCCGAGCTGGATGTTCCTGACCGTACTCGCCGGGCTACTAGGCGAAATGCCTTATCCATAAAGGAGACGGCAAACGAATTCGCTGATGGTACGGATGATCAGAGCGACGCCAGGCCCGGCCCAAGAAACCGCGCCAATAAACCGTCATCGACAAAACTAGCAAAAGTAGAACAAGTTGACGGGAAGGAGAATTCGCGGGTCACCGCTGTGGTCGTTACGAAGCCTAAAAAGGGCAGAAAGAAACCCCTGCTCAGGCCAAAGGCAGCACTTAAGGTCAAAGAGTCTGTACCAAATGACATAGAAATGTCCCATGCTGATACAGGGGGTCAACACGTGGAGTCGGACGGAGGTAAGCACATGGAATCGAATATATTTGATCCTCTACGGCGACATGAAAGCTTTTTTGAAGAGGCATTTCATGATTATGAACCGCCTTTTACTCCTATGCCACCAGTGCCTGCAGTATCGAAAATGGCCAGCAAAATGGCGGATATATTTGGCTCCGTGGGCGAGTCTTCTGAACCACAACGTAAGGCCCGGGTGTATGGGAAATCTGCCCAGAAAGCAACCCGTGCACCTCAAAAACAGTCGAAATCCAAAGCAAAAGTCAGCTTAAAAGGGAAGGAGAGGGATAAAGTGGTTCCACTGCCTGAAGCGGAGTCATTGCCTGAGCAGCGTCAACAAAAGACAAGCCCAGTAACTACTGGAAAATCGCCTGCAACCACACTCGGGAGGGCAGTCGAAATGATCTGCATCAGCAGTGATGAAGAAGGTGAAGATTCTGGAGATATTGAGCGCCACCAGCCACCGGCAATTGCGCAAGCTGCAATGACAAAACTAGATGAAAAGAGTACATCAGCTACAGCAGCCAAAATTGAAAGCTCTATCCCTGCGTTCCTCGAAGCACCCAGCGACCTATCTCCCGAGGACCAGTCAACTCCAGCAATGGCGCATCTCCCCCATCCAGTTGCTCCTGCAGCAGTGGCCCCGACCAAGCTACGAAATTCCTCTGCCCATCTCGTCGACGATCATTTGTCTCGCAAAACCCCAATTGTGGCCTTTGGTAGAAAGGGTCCCAAGAATAAGGGTGTCTCTAGCGCGCTGAAGCCGAAGCCTGTTGAGAATCCGAGCTCTAAAACGGACATGGCAAAGCTCATAAATGCAGTAGCGCTTGGTCAATCAAGAAAACGGCCAAGTCCAGAGCCTACATCACATCTGGAAGCTTCCCCTCCGAAAAGAGTTAAAAAGGTGGAGGTTGCCTCCAATAAGGCTGTAGATGATGATGCTTGCAACGACGATATAACTATGCTACCTCACCGGTTGAAGTCAAGCACCCCATTTGCTACGCAGCAAGACAGCCCCATATGTAGCTCTCAATCCCGTGTAGACGAGAATGGGAGCCCTCATGCGAGACCTACGGTCAAGGAAACAGCAAACGTGGCGCAAATTAGAAGAAGAACGCTTTCTATTGCGAGGAAAATGCCCCACACCAGTCAAAACAAGGACATCCTGACTGAAAAGGGACCCTTCGACGACCACGATGATGAGTCAACTATGTTACAGAACTTTGATGACCCCTCCCCGAACCGGAAGTCACAACTTTTTGGTCGACAAAAGGAGGCTCCCGTCAACCCACGGTATTTATTGTCTAGGCCAACCACGGCTGGGAAGAATTTGGAAGTCATTCCAGAGACAGATCACGCCACCACTGTCAACTCCGTGAACCCCTTTGAGGAAAGGGAGCCAAGGCAGTTGAGCAATTTTGCGAGGCGCCTCAAAGAAGAACAACCGGCCAGATCGAAGGTTACGATAACGACCAAATCTCAACCCCAGCCTCTGTTGAAGGCAGCTAATGCTCAACCACGAAAACGTTCCTTTATATTTGAGCCCGAAGTGGCGGATCATGACCCAGAGAAGACCCTGGTGGAAGCTGAAAATCGATACCAATGGAGACGCGCAAGGTCCAGTAGTATCGATAGCAATGCAAGCTCTTCTGATGATAAAGCATCAGTTACTACAGCAACTGAGGAGGAAAAACTCGCCCCTGAGATGGCGTGGAGGAAAAAATTTCAGTCACCTTATAGGAACTTGACTGATACTCTCATCTGCATGGTCCGCGTAAGTAGAAATCTACCTCAAATCTATTATATTCTAACCCGTATCTAGACGCTTGTTGAGAATTTGGTCGACAAGGAAACAGCTATTGGCGACATTGTAGAGGAATACACGAGGAATGGGACGAAGCTGGTCGAAGAACTTGAACGTGAGGCGAGCGCCGATAGACGTAAGCTCGAATCGCAGTTTTCGAACACGATGCAGCAAGTTACACGCAGCTTTAAGCAGACAAGAGATGCCACTATTGCTCTGAACTCGAAGTGGGAAGATCTTGATGACCTTGAAGCGCAGTGGCGGAAGAGACAGCATATGTTGCAGAAGTTCATGAATGAGAGGAAAGGATGGGTGGAGGATGGGACGTGGAAGAACAAGATTAAAAATTAATGCTGTAGTATTGCTTGTTGGCTGGAATTGGTTTGGTCTTGGGGGGTTTGCTCAACGTCTTGCTCAAAACATGTATCACAATATCATCGACAACGTGGCTTTCAAACGGGCTATATGGAATAACTTATAAAAAAAAGTACGATTAGATTAGACTTATAGCTTAAAGGTTATCGGAGCCAAACTCAATATAATATTGTAATTCAAGATCGGTTTCCAGCAAGACATGTGCAGTTCTCCAATTCCTCCTCTCCGTGCGAAGCTTGAAATGCGGGGTTGAGTTGAAGACCCACACATGGAGCCCCCAAACTCGATATTAGCGTCGATTCGCGAGATCTGACGAACTTTCTTTCCACTGTAAATTCAACGACCCTTGTAAGATTTCAATTTTTACGACAACCAGCAAGGGGCTTCTCTTCCATCTCCAGTCTCTCCACCCAATCAAACCGCAATCATGGTTCGTACTTACCTATATAATATCCCCACATACCATTCCGCAAAAGCTAACAATCCCCAGGCGCCCGTTGCTCCGAAAAAACGCAGTTCCATCCGCGCGAAGGTCTCCCGCGCGGGATCAGGCATGATGACCCGCCCCGCCAACTACCAACCCTCCTCATCCTTCGGCGCCGGCGTCTCCGACGATTTCCTCAACACCAAGAAGGACAAGCGCACCATCAAGCACTCGGCATTCGTGAACCGCATCGAGAAAGCCAACACCAAGACTTTGAAGCGCAGGCGCCCGAGCAAGAAGCTCGTCGCCACCTTGGAGAGTCTGGCGGATGCGCTGCCCGATTTCGATGATGATGGGAATGGCGGGGAGAGGATTATGTGGGATGCGAAGATTAAACATAGGAGTTTGAAGAGTAGGCCCGGGGCGACGAAAAGGAGGGAGAAGTTGGAGAAGATGGAGAGGGAGAGGTTTGGCAAGAATATGGCGCAGCTGAGTGCGAGTACCGAGACGGCGCCGGCGATGGAGGGACAGCCGCATGCTGCGGCGGCGGCGGCGACGTCGAATAAGTGGGCTGCGTTGAGGGGGTTTATCAGCCAGACTTTGGAGCAGAAGCCGGAGTTTGTTAAGAGCTGAGGAATGGCTGAGACGGGAAGAACAAAAAAGAGTGTCAAGAGAGTATACCCATACCACGGAGCAGATATCAGAGCCGCTGTGGCATCTGAAGAGTGCCCATAATAGAGCGCAACACAAAGGTGCTACGAAAGCCGGCTAAAACATCATAACGGGATATCGACGCCCAACCACAAACGATGACGGCCCTAAAATCGTCACCCATAGGTATCATAAGTCCTTTCAATATCATATTATGCCTTATTTGGGGCTAGGGGTACCAATGTGGCAGCCACACTTGATATACTATCACGTGAACATTTGAAGATGACGACATTCTCACACAACCCCCTCCTTTGCTCATAATCTCATGGTGCCCTATCTACCACCTCCCAACATTTCTGGACTACTCAAACAAACAGTAAGATGGCAGGCCAAGACTCATCTCTATATTCAATCCCCTTCTCCATCGCAACGGTCTCCGTTGGCTACTCCAGCACCCCCCTCCACTCCAAGCTCTACGCCATAGCCCAAGCAGGCTTCACCGGCATCGAGCTCGCCTTCGACGACCTCGTCTCCTTCGCCAACGTCCACCTCCTCCGCGACGTCGAAGAAGATGACTACGACGGCCTCCACGAAGCAGCCTGTGAGGTTCACAACCTCTGCGAAGCCCAGAACCTCAAGATAGTAATCCTCCAGCCCTTCTCCAACTTCGAAGGCTGGCCCGAGCACAGCGACGAGCGGATGGCGGCGTTCAAGAAGGCGAGAGGATGGATCAAGATCATGAAGGGACTTGAGACGGACATGCTCCAAGTCGGGAGCAACGATGCGCCCATCCCGCCTCTCAGCCGGTCTAGGATGGATGCAGTGCGCGACCTGAAGGGATTGTCGGATATGCTAGCTGAGGAGGGCTTCAAACTAGCGTATGAGGCGCGCTCGTGGGCGACAGTGTCATCGACATGGAAAGACGGCTGGGAAGTCGTCAAAGCCGTCGACCGCACGAACTGCGGGTTGTGTCTCGACACCTTCCAGATCACGGCTGCAGAGTACGCTGACCCGACGACGGCCAATGGGCTCCATGGTGGCATCCCGCCAGAGGAGCTTGGTAAGAATTTTGGGGACAGCTTGTATGAGATGTCTACGACGGTGCCGGCCGAGAAGGTCTACCTGCTTCAGATCAGTGATGCGTGGAGACCTAAGACGCCGCTGAGTGCGGAGATGAATGAGGATGCGAAGCTGAAGTCGGTGTGGAACTATAACTACAGGCCGTTACCGTTTGAAGGGGGGTATTTACCGGTTATTGAGCTGGCGAGGAAGGTGCTTGATACGGGTGCGAGGAGCTGGTGGAGTGTGGAGGCTTTTGATGGTGGGAGGGATGGCAAGGAGGAGAGGGAGCCGGATTTGGAGATGTTTTCCAAGAAGGCATATGCTAGTTTGACGAGGTTGAGGGAGGAATGTCTTCATTTTGGGGAGTAATGGTCTTATGCCATGGGATATCAATATGGATAATAAATCCTCACGTAAGGAGGGTTGTATAGTAATGAATGAAAAGCACTCGTCACACACATGGAACAGCGATATTGAAGTAAGGAGCTGTAATACATATATATGTCTATAATATACAGAGACAGAGGGGATATCAAAATATGTCCAACTCACACCTTCAAACCCAACCCAACTCCTTTATACTGGACTCCTCTACTCCGCCTGCTGTTGCATATGGCTCGGCAAGTTCCAGCTTGCATAATCTTGATGTACAAATGCCCTATCCACCGTCGGCACTGACTCCAAAACATACTGAAGGCTCTCTCCCAAATCATGGCTATCTCGCAGGCTCGTTGTCTCATCAAGGACTATATCGACTTCCACATTGAGTTTATCCCCTGAATGGTAAGCCTCCAAGCCCTGGATCTGTTTTATAGTCTTCGCGAACCGCATGGTCAGATAGAGAAGCACATTGCGCTCATCAGCAGTGGCAGCGGCGCCAGTGAGGTTACGGATATGCCCTGCAGAAGTGCCAGCCCAGTTGACTATAACGTAACCCGAGAGAAGAAGACCTCCGAGCCCATCGAGCCACCAGAGGTTCGCGTAATATCCAACTATAAATATTAGTATGGTGAGTATTTAACAGCAAGAATAAGAACTTACCCAGAGGGAAGATGATGGAAAATAAATTGAAGATGACGTCTGTTTCAGCGTCTTGTGCCAGCGCCTGCACGCTGGAGTTCTTGATGACTCGGCACCAAAGCCAGCACAGGGCTTTGATTACCACAGTCGAAGCCATGATGGCGATGGATGGTACACCAAGCTGGATGATAGAGTGATCTCCCGAGTTCAAACGGTTGAAACATTCCAGTGCAACTTGGAAAAAGCACGTTACCATGATAACTGAAAATACCAGTACACCGATCGGTTCAAGGCGTCGCCGTCCAACAGGATAACGATATCGATCCTGCCTAGCGATCAACCTTGTTGTCGTCCACACAATACCTGTACTTAAGAGGTCGAGTGCACCATCCACAAGGGATGCTAGAACGGACAACGAGCTCGTGAGTACAATGACTGCCATTTTACCTCCCAGCAGAAAAATGTTTGCGGCCAGATTCACATATATGGCAAGCTGAACGATCCTATCGCCACTTTCGACACTGTCGTCGCTCATGCCGGGTATTTCTGGTCTTGGGCTATCCTCGTCGTTCGAGTATTCCAAAAGTGCCGTATCTTCGGACGGAACTTTGAATAAGTCCCTCGGCGTCCGCTTTATCTTTTTATTGTTCGAACTGACGCCATTGGGCTCTGTTCGATTTCCAGAGTCTTCGTTAGATGATTGTTCTTCAGATATGGTTGCTGGGACACTGGGTTGATCGCGACTGGTGTTATACTCATTAAGCAGATCGTGAGGCAGTGAGGAATCGAGGAGGCGGTCAATATAAATGTATTGCTGAATGAGCAAGTTTGTTCGCTCATAGTATTGGCGACTATTGAAGTCAGTATAACTTAAGATCTGAGAGCATCACGCCGTTGGGCTTGGCCATAATGTCTCATAGCTGTACAGCGTCCCACAGGTGCCCAGGGACGGCGTACGAAGCCAAGCATTGGAAGGAGAACACCTACATTGGCTGTTTCATGAGCTTTAATTCCTCCTCAGTCTTCCAGTATCTCGTCCAGTTATATCTCGGGTTACTATTTCCAATCAGGCGCATACTTCGCATCTGCGGTCCATATAGTACCGAGCTTGCTCTTCGCATTTGGGGCGACTCTTCGCTATCCCATCGCCATGATAGTCGTTCCCCGACCTCTTCATCGTCGACGATAATAGATGGAGCGCGTCTCAGCCTATGGAGCGACGTATTGGAGCGCGTTCGTATCAACGAATTCAACACGCCTGCGTTATGCAGCGCCATTGGGCTCTCATCGTTGAGCGGAAGGAACCCTTTGAGCCGTGGGATGTGGCTGTGCCTCGGAGGCGACGAGTTATAGGCTGCATCTTCCATATTTACTGTTATGCGCAGTGAATATTGTATCCTGTGACACTTTGTACTGAACAGCGCATGCGTCAGTGAGGCTTGATTTCCTTATCGGCGGGAAAGTAAGCTGCCACAGCTCAATTGTGTATATCCATAACTGCTACGTCATAGCATAGCCATTGGTGATATTGAGAAGTTGCAGGGTGTAAATGAGGCTGTGGTGTTCATAAAACTGAAATGGAAATAAGGCGCGCCCCAGTTAGCAGTTTCAGTACGAGTAAAACGGACCGCAGCTTATGACGAGGCTGGCTTTGTTTTAGCATAACCATAAGTTACTAACTCGTTCCCGGGGCTGTCCCTGTTGAGGTTTAACGCCGTCGAGTCGGCTGTCGCCAAACTTTCCTGGCCTTTCTGGTTGTCCCAGCCGCCCCACCAGCTCTTGGCGACCCGTACCCTTCACTTCTTCGTCGAAGGAGCGGCGACTGAACCACCACAGTGTCGACAAGTCGACAGCCGACACGGCTTCGGCATATTCGATATATAATATATCAATACCCCGAAATATATCTTATCCTGGCAAACGTCCCTTGGAGCCCTCAGTCACCGAGCTAGACCCTCGCGCCCCCGAAGTCAGTTTGACCCCGCGTCTCAGCCCGCATCACCAACTTGCAGCTCGCATCTCCGCCCAGGAAAATCGTGAAAGGATGCCACGAGACGGAGGATTTCATCCTTTCAAGGGAAGAGTGAGCCGTCACTTTGGAGATAGTGTATGTTTGGTTTATTTCCCCTTCACTCTGCACGTCTCACTTCTCTACGGGTCATTGCTGAATGGACCCTTTGCCTCGGTAACCCTGTGGGCTACTGGAGACCAAGTTCGCCATATGAACGCGGACGGGACCTAGACTGGGACCGCGAGAGACCAAAAGCTAATTTGAGTTTTATACAGCTCTCCCCCGATGATGCATACTTGAGTTGTAAGTTCTCATTCAGTGGTTGTTATGGGAGACGGAGCTAATTCGTCCCATAGATTACGACACTCGATGTTTGTATATCCGCTTGCTTTTTTCGACAAACATAGACTAATATGCGCGCAGTGACGAAAGAAGATGTTGATACACTCAAATATGACTGGTTAACAGACAATGTAAGTTCTTCTGGCATGCCTGGGTCGACATGATGCTAATGATACCTTCTAGACGATTTCTTTTTGGGAAGAGTAAGCCACATATTCGCCCAGTACACGACTCAGCTAACCCTATTAGATATCTTGAGCGCGAGCAACTGCCCCAATACCCAACGTCTCACATCGTGCTTCTTCGACCCTCTATGGCATTCATGCTTATGCAGACTCCGAACCCGCACACTCTCAGGGAGGCCCTTCCAGACTTCACACGCACAACACACATCTTTCTTCCAATAAACGATGCCCGCAACGTCTCCGTTGCTGAAGGTGGTTCTCACTGGTCTTTGCTTCTGGTCTCTATAATCGATGGCGTGGCATTTCACTACGATTCGATGTCGCCCTCAAACTACAACGAAGCCGCCAATGCTACCCATAAGCTGAGCACATTAATTGGAAGGCCACTCCGTTTTATGAACCTAGACGACAGTCCGCAACAAGAAAACGGAAGTGATTGCGGAGTTTATGTCTGCATCCAGATGAGACATTTGCTGCTAAAGAGGCTGTTGAGCGCGAATGCCAAGGAGAAGATCAGCATGAGTATGGGTGGGAAAATGGTTGATGCTAATGGAGGAAGGAAGGAGATGTTGAGGATCATTGAGACTTTCAGAAAGGAGGGCGAGAGGCGGAGATCGTAAGGCGCCTCACAGATCAGCAAACACGAAGTAAATATGCTAACCACCTTTAGAAACGATGAGTCTAGACGCAGCTCTAGTGCCTCTAAATCCAAAGGCAAGAAGTCTGTGTCAAGGTCACCACCTCGAATCGACTCATGAATGGGAAAACGTCTCAGCGTACGACCGTGGCGAGGAGTTCAGGCGCATCATAATGGAAACTACGCATATCGTGAAAATCATTTTATTGTTATCGCCCTTAACGTGCCTTCTCTCTCGATGTATTGAGGGAGTGGCCATGCAAGGATATCAAAGAGAGCCAAAGCCGCATTGGATGAGGACAGTAGGATATGTAACTTGCTCAAAAATACCATTGGTTTGAATGTAGGAAATATAGGCGGCACAGAGATCGCATAGGAATCGCTTGGCGGATGACTTGGGATATGGCAGTAAAACTAACTGGGAATTCCATGCATCGAGCCCGTACCAGCCTATATCGCATCTTACATACCGGAGAGCTCCAACCCCCTTTTCCTTACCCCCCCACCACCATCTCCTTTCCCTGCATAGCAAATGCTCAAACCCAGGGCCAAATTTAGGTCGAGCTATACTAACTCCGTTTTTTCAAATATTCGAAGGGGGAACCGACCCCTTTAGACCCCTAAAACACCATATAAATGTGAAAATACTAAGACTGCAATAAACAAAGCCAGAGAGACGTGGGTTTTTAGATGGCATAGATGTAAGAAATCGTAAAGAATGAAGTTGTGGATTCCCACCACATTGAAAGCACACAAACACGCATGCACTCTCTCCCCCTCCTCTCTCTCTCCCCCTCCTCTCTCTCTCTCTCCATCCTCTCTCTCTCTCTCCACCCTCTCTCTCTCTCCTACACACCCTATCTCGAGCACACAATTGTACTGCACCCACTCCACCCCCCCAATCCTACCATCATCTCTACCCCCTCTCTGCGTTTGTGAAGTATTCTTCATCATGCCGTAAGTTTATTTTCATTGTTACTGTCGAAAAACTAATCTTTTATAGGTCCAAGAGATCGAGCCTGAAGTTGATAACGATTCCAACTCTGAAGACTTCGACAATGCGCCAAAACGCCATCAATCGACCATTCATGTCAACTCAATCTCAATCAAGTTGTCTATTGAAATCGTTCCCTCGAGCATCGATGCAGTTAACGCTGATGGTCAGCCCATGCACATCACCAGTGGAGCTATGATGGTTGACCTCACAACGGTGCCGAAGACAGTAAAACGGTATATCCTTCAGCACATTCACGATGAATAATCTGGGAATATGGATATAGCATGGCAATCGAAATCCACAAAAATTTCTCGTTCTTAAGTAACTATGCAAACAAACCTGATGAACTACCTGTGTCTACACATGCTGCTTGAGCCCGAACTTCTGGATTTAGGCCCGGGTCGGGCGGCTGCGAAAAAGGATAGTATTTATTGATCCATTGATCCATTGACGGATTATAGATTGCCGCAAGATACTACAAGTTTCAAATATGAAAACATCAAAAATTAACTCCCTCGGGTGGGCTCGAACCACCAACCTCTCGATTAACAGTCGAACGCGCTAGCCAATTGCGCCACGAGGGAGGTCTTCTGTTGTTGGAACGTGCAGTAATTAGATTCATATAGAAAAAATGCGCTCTTTCAGGGGGGGGTGCGAATATGCGCACTTTGCTATTCCTAAAGCTTGATTTGCGCGAAATTGACGAAGGCATTTCAGAGGGAGGTACCTGGCTACAGTAAAGCACCGATATAATGATTCTCAATTAAGCGATAACTTCATTATTGCGATATTTTTTCCTGGTCCGAACCTCACCACCATACAAATACCGATACTCATGATATCGCAGCTTCCTCTCCTAAATATTGCTTTATCTGTGTTAACGTTGCTCTCGTTGCTCTATTTAGGCCTCAAAATGATGAAACGATTTGCAATAACTATTGAGCAACGCCGCGCTCTACGTAACTGGGCACATCAACAACTCCCGAACCTTCTCAAAAGCAATGTATCGAATGTGTAATGGTGGGTGCACCAGATGTGAGAATCTAGCCACCCAAGGAAGGGATGAATTTACTAAGACAACACACTGTCTTAGGAAACAGAGCCAAAGGGTCGTAGCTTAGACTATTCCACAATGCAGCAATCAGGTGTGTGATGTAGTGAAGTGGTTCAGACAAGTTGCAACAAATGTTGAGTCTGGGAACTCAGGGGTAAGTCAGAGGTTAACACCTCACTGACTTTTCAGAAACAAGGAGTAACAAGATGAATGCTTGGAAGCTTGGAAAAGACGTGGAAGTATGTGATAGTTGATTTACTGTATTGTCTGCTTGCCCTTTCTTAAGGAAAGGGCAATCCTATTTATGCTAAAGGAGTGTAGTTCTCTCATTTTCCAAGACTTTCCATGACTTACCAGGCTTGGTAACTGTAGTCGACGTAAGAGAATCCCATAGAACCATCTCTTAGGTTCGTAGCCTATAGGAAGTAAAAGGAGGTCCAAGGTCAGAGTACCCCTATAGACAAATTATGTCATAGACAAATTATGTCATAGACAAATTATTGTAACGCTGACTTCTAAACGATAGAAGACACAGAGGTTCTCTTGCGTAAAGGTTTACTTATCAGAGGAGGCAGGGGATCAGACACAAAGGCTTCAAGTAACACGTTACTAGTATATAACAAATACTGTATTGAGTTGAGCACGAAGCTCCTATCTAAGGAAATACTATCTACTTATATAGTGGCGTCGTGCCTAGTGGACTCTTGGGAACTCACTCGAGTCCTCGGAGTCCTGGACTCTTAGGACTCTTCTCATCATCCTGCGAGTCCATCACGTGCCTAGTGGACTCCTGGGAACTCACTCGAGTCCTCGGAGTCCTGGACTCTTAGGACTCTTCTCATCATCCTGCGAGTCCGTCACGTGATACTTTCGGAACTACTATTCCCCGCTGCCCCTCCAGGTACCAGGGCCGGTCTCATGCGACCTCCCTCCTTCCTGTCCTGTAGTTGGCCAGCCTTCTTGTTCCGTCGTAACACTCGCTCCCTTCCCCTGGGCATTCGTCTCGAATCCTATAAGTACGTCCATGCCCCCGGGACTCTGCTGCTCCTCAGCGAGTCCTTCAACATGCAACATGCCTACTGACACTGCCCGCAAACTCCAGGAACGCAACGATCTTGTCCGTCGAATAAAGAACCACGGATACGAACTACCCGAAATGGATTCTTGCTCGAACTGCGTGAGGCGAAACATTACTTGCGTGTCGTCTCCAAATGATTCACGGCGGTGCGCCGAGTGCGTTCGTCGCAACTTGAAAGAAAAGTGTGACTGTATGGGTCCTGAGCATCCCGACTGGGTGAAGCTCGAACGGGAGGAGGATCGCCTGGATCGCGAAGAGGAAGAAACCCTTTCGAAGTTACTTCGTCTGCGGAAGCAGAAACGCCTCATCCGGACCCGTGGTAAAGATATGCTCCGGCGAGGTTTGAAAACCCTCGACGAGCTTGATGCGGCAGAGGAGGCCGAACGTGTGGCTGCTGAGAAGCG